CGTAAACAACAAAACGCAAAATCTATCCTGGTTCACGGTGTCCCCGAGCTCCAGACATTAAGCGAGCTAGAGGCCAAAGCGCATGACTAAGAAGAATGGCGTTTTATTCGCGAAGTGATCTCACTCGAAAATGTTATCGCTAATTCAACATCAAAGTAACCGCTATCACCTAACTACAACAGGTGTGGTCCTCGAGTGATGAAAGTATTATTGCACGCCGAACTGATGGCAGAACGTGTGATCAAAATGTGGCTCAAACAGCGTAAAATGCTGCTATCCGAAATACGTATAAAAGCCATAGGCACCGGGCCACAGATAGACAATGTAACACTGAGCAAGCAGCTTACCAATACAATTCTGTCATCGTGTAACTCAGAACGGAGACAATGCCAAAACACACCGACAGATGAAGGAGGACAGGGGAATCACCATCTTGTTGGTGCTGAGAGCTCTATACAACAACCTGAACTGGTCCTAGGGCCTGCGTCACCGGTCTTACAAAAAACGACCGGCAGCCGACCCCGCAAGGGTCGGCATAGACCCTCACCGGAAACCAGCATTCACAAACACGCTTCTGACCACCGATGCCCTCACCTGCTTGTATACCAATGCACAAGGTCTTCTCAGCAAGCTAACCGAACTTCGTATTCGTCAAGTCTCCACGCCTTGGGACCTAGTTATGGTCACCGAAACATGGCTGAACACGGAGATCACCAATGCTGAGATTGCACTACCCGGCATGACTTCCATACGAAATGATCGACCAAGCAAAGGAGGGGGCGTGCTCCTGTCTTATCGATCGAACCTGCATGTTACTATCATTGAGGATCCAGAAAAGAAAGTCGTCGATTCTCTTTGGTGTCGTGGGGATGTGTGTTTACTAGCAATAGTTTACCGCCCTCCAAGGTCCACTTTAGAAATGGATCAATGCCTGGCTTCTGCGATGAAACGAGTACTGGCACGACCATAGAGTCATGTTCTTCTGTTGGGGGACTTCAACCTGCACGCAATCGAAGCTCCAGCATCGCACTGCGAACACTTCAAGGCACATTTGCGAGAGGTGATCGCCGATGTACTTCTGTACAACCATGCCACCTCTCCCACGTGATTCCGAACGGGTGACACCCTCTGTTTTGGACATGGTGCTCTAAAACGAGAAACTAATGGTCCACACCGTGAGCATAGACACACCATTTGACCGTAGCGATTACGCGATGTTGCTCTTTCGTTACATCTGTTACTCGGAGTACATCAGTGAGAACAACGTGGAAACCTATGCCGTTACACATTACGATATCCTGTCCAACCTCATACAAGAAACCGACTGGTCATTCCTGGCCGAGAAGCCGCCTGAATGTTGTTCGTCGCCCAATTCACTGAGCTGATGGCAAATGCGTAAGAAAGCAAGGCACTTCGCCCGAAGCAAGTGAATTCGTTCCCGAGGGGCCGTACTAGAAAATTCATGGGCTTAAGGGATTCAGCCTGGCGCGCTTACAAAGTCTGTCCAAGTAACCTGACCTGGGTGCTTACACAACTCAACGAAACCACTGCGTCAAGTTGATCCGCGAAGACAAACTCCAGCACCAACAGAACTTAGCGGCGAAATTCAGTACAAATCCCAAGTTGCTGTATAGACACGTCAACAAGCTCCGCAGAGTGCAGCGCGGGATCCCGGTTTTACGTGCAACAGATGGTCTTGCGCAAACCGCACAAGATGCAGCCAACGTGCTTCGCCAACACTTCATCCATACTTTCCGGAGTGAATCATCATTTCATCCGCTTTTTACACAGCTTCCATCGCCACCAGGGTTAAACCACGTATCGTTCACGGCAGCCAATGTGATGAAAACGCTAATGTCATTGCGCGTGCACAGCTCACCTGGCGTGGACGACATCAAACCGAAGGCATTGAAGACAGCGGCCATGAACCTTGCCGAACCATTAGCTCGGTTCTTTCAACGTTGTCTCGAAGAAATGCAGGTTCCCACAATGTGGAAACATGGACTAGTCACTCCTATTTACAAAAGTGGTAATCGTTCGGAGCCTCGAACTACCGTCCAATCACTCTCCTCCCAGTTTTATCCAAAGTAATGGAACGTATAATTGCAGAGGCGCTCATTGGATATCTTGAGAGCAACAACATCCTAGTGTCACAGCAACACGGATTCCGCCGAAATCGATCCTGCACTACAAACTTGCTGCTAGCCCGAGCAAGTTGGACAGAGTCAGCCGATGCCAGAGTGGGAGTCGACATTGTCTACCTGGACTTATCGAAAGCGTTCGATCGATCGGACTACCACATTCTCCTTCACAAGCTTCGAAGTGGAATCGGTGACCATATACTCGGTAGGATCGGCAATTTCCTAGCTCAACGTCAGCTGAATGTGAGAGTCCGCAGCCCCATTTCCGACCCAATTGACGTCTAGTGTGGCTTGTCTCAAGGACCGGTACTGCGGCCACGTTTATTCCTCACAATCGTGAACGATGTTAGCAGTGTACCGCAGTTGAATTTCTTACTATATGCAGACGAAATTAAAAGTTGATATGACATCAGGACATCGGATGATAACATGGCACTGCAGAGCGATCTCGACTGGGCTTATGGGTGGTCATCCGACAGCCGACTCCAGTTCAACGTTACCAAGTGCAAAGTCGTAAGCATACGCCATCAGCTTATCTATGAATATCGACTTGGGGACCAGCAGTTACAATATGCTTCCCATGAAAACGACCTCGGCGTGATCGTGCAGTACGGTCTTAGCTGCTCGAGACAGGCTGAAAAGCATCAACAAAAGCCAGTCAACATCTTGGTCTCTTACAGAGGGCTTTCGAGCCATCAATCTTTCCGCAAATACTGAAACCTACGTGAGGCCTCACGTGGAATATGCGATCCAGGCCTGGCGCAGGCGCGACGTCGATGCACTTGAAACTCCACAACGTATAGCAACCAAACTGGTTAGATGATCGTTTCATCTCTCCTACCAAGGCAGACTGCAGCCTCTAAGATTGTACAGTAGTGAATATCGACGTTAGCGGGGAGACCTAATCATGGTTTACTTAATACTGACGAACCCAACTCACCCATGTCGCAGCTAAGCCAAAATACCAACCTGAGAGGCCATCAGCTCAAAATGGCTACGCACTACACATTGATGAAACGCTGCCCAAGTTGCATTACTTGATATAGTCCGTTCTACTTGGAGGACGAAATAACCCAAATCTAATCATGTGCTAAACGGCCCTCTCCGCAACGTGACGGTGAGGATACATGCAATAGTGTCCATGTGAGTAGCCTAGATGTATCTAAAATGGGTTAACATACCACATTTGTCAAATGAAGCAACACATGAGTGAGCGTTGTCATTTCCTTTTTCACGCATTTACTGAACTATGACGGTACTTATACTACTTTGTGTGTGCACATCCCGCTTCAAACTATCGTTATACAGTAGTATATTTAAAACGGAAGACGCTTAAAATAACGAGTTACTAATTCGATGATCCTTTAAATCGTAATTTTTACTCCAATCATCCTACGGGACTTGTCAAGCACATGCTTTTTTACCCGTGATAAATCATTGTGCATTGTTCTGGCTGGTCGATGCGTGCACGTGATTGGTCAATTTACCATATGCTATTAGCTGCCTTTCGCTCAAGCGGCTATCCGGTACCACGTACGCCTGACTCATTCGCAGCCCCTGATTGGTTCGCATGGCTACGGCCAGCTCGCCAGCATTGCTCAAGGGACTAGCTATTACACCATATACTCCTTATTTATTACGGTCACCACTTTAGGAAAGCTCAGTAACTAGATTACGGCCCCTGCAACCCAAGGGCGATCGTGCCCCATGGTGTATTCAAATAAACACTTAAACATATTGAATCAAGCTTACTAACAACTCTCGGACCTGATGCGAAAGTAGGCATTACGTGTGTACGGATGATTTAGTAATTCTGCTTCCTTTTAACCTGAATTCTGGGATATCGTAGCTAGGACCGAGTCAGTCGCATAATTCGAAGCTGAGAATTTCCCAAAATGCATTTTGCGATGTACATAAATGGGTATATAGTTGGACAGAAATATACAAATATAGGTCGGGGCAATTTGACCCGGAGGCATTTATGGTAAACTGAACAGATGATCGGTTAACCAAGCATCCGAAATTGTGTATATTTATTTTTGCAGGAGAATGAAACATCTGTACTGTCTGATTTAACAGCTCGTGGGGTCAACTCATCGCGAAGTCTAGAAATGTGTCGTGCGATTTTCCATTAGAAAGCGATCCGAATACCTCGGTATAACAATTCAGTGAGGATTCCTTTTCGAATCATGAAAGAGGAGTACTGAATCCGCAACTTAGGTCGAGGTCGGTATTGAGGATTATATTGTCAAGTTTATTCTTCCAGTTAGATTCGTTTGGCGGTTTCTGATCAATATTTCCGATAGCTTCTAAGAGCCCCAGTAAGATCCCAGCGTCACATAAATTCTTCGTGTAAGCGGTACAGGGACCTGTTACCGTTTACCTGGCTATCTACGATGATGCCGTGCACTGATACGAATCCTTGGAAGGACGGAATGAGCCTACAATGCTTTTCGCAAATTGATAGTCATATGACTTCGTCCAATTGTGATGAATTTAATCTATCTATTCCCACATTGCTTCCTTAACATCGGGAATGTTCGGCTTGAGGAGAAGAAACCAACCAGAGACCACTGAGAACCCGACCACTGCTGTGATTGGCCGCTACAAGTGTTGTTCAGCGAACAGGATAAAATTAGCAGAAATGTAGTTGTTTCAGTACCAAGGTGAGTCCTTAAAGCGATGCAACGTAGATCAGTTCACCGAGGTTGCCTTCGATACGAACAAAAGGTGCTCGAGAATTCAAAATTGAGAAACAAGAGGAAACCGAAGCATTGAAACGCATAAACATTGTACCGTGGAAGTTGCAAATGTACATGAGGTTACAAATGAAAGAATATAAACACTGAGGAAAAGAGATCATCGGGGTCCACGTCTCATTCGTGTAAAAGAACGACCTCGAGGTCGGTATCCCGATTCAGTGCGTTGGGATCTAGTTTGTTGGTAAGACCGCGGATAGCCGTTGGTGAAATCTGAATGGGAATTCTCTTGGTGAGTCATATTCACGACGGAATGAGTTGCAGAAGTACCCCCAGGAGCCACAGGGAGCATGTCGAAAGTAATCTGGAAACGGAGAGGTAAGGTAGTAGAAAGATATGCACAATGAGCGCTTAAAGCAATTGTAATGAAAACAAACAAGTTGAGCTAATGTGACTTTCGCAATAAGCAGGAGAGTTACGACTATTGGTGACAACCAGGAAGAAAGTAACCACCACCGCAAAGCATATGTCTTGCATGGAATACAACGCCAGCTGCGAGGCGGTGCGTTATAAGGAATACTAGCTGAAATTTCAGAGCACAATGATGAATAAAGAGAGGAAAAAGGGGAGTTGCACGCGCGCGCCGAGCTTGGTCCTTGGATGGTAAACGTTTCATCGATAAACGAGGTGATTTCCTCGGTGCATTTTGTATCGAGTGCAGTCCGATGATCTAGTCGTCGATTTGAATTGACCTCCTCGAGCTGTGCCGCATGACTCATACCCGTTTCCCCGATCCGTGAAATGGCTTTGCTCCGATTGTTCTGTTAATGGTTTGTTTGAGTGCTTATGACGGTCTTCAAGCCGTTTGAGCACTCTTCAACTGAAGATTTGGTAAACTGAATCAATGTCGATACGGATATTTTGTCGAATGGTTGGTAGAGTACCATGTTTCGAGGAACTCCATTCCTATTCGTGGTTCTCTTCGTGCTAGGACCCGTGTATTCTCCAATAGAAGCAATGTCCTTCTTTGTCCGTATGCGAGGAAAAAGGATGTGTCGTGGTTATTACAGGCACAACTACCAAGCTCGGCGAGCACGTGAAAGTCAGAACGATCTACCCAGGATACTAGTGTCTCAAGTTTAAGTGAAAAAGAGATGTGAATGTGTAGACTACAAACTGTACCATGAAAAAATGCAATGCAGATTATCGGCTCTGATCCATGTGACGAACTGCGGTGGATCCAATGGCCTTAATCCACACTACAAAACAATAACAATGAATTAAGGTAAGCCAGAAAGAAGTAACATTGTCAGACAGAACAACAAAGAATGAGAAGTTGCGGAATGGGCGTAAGACCGTCACTGAAACGGAGATCGCTCCGACTGCTGAAGTGACAGGTTCTGGGGACTCCATCCGAGAAAGCAACAAGGACTGACTAGAGTCAGCCCTTCGGCGAGTCACTTAATACCCAATGTCATGTCAATGACAGACCGTTTCGGAACGGCATGATGGAAAATATCATGACCAAATGCGGAAGGTGTACTTAGTCATGATACAACAAAGTTAAGAGAATATTTTCAAATCCGGTTGTTCGCAAGACATCCCAGCGCATCGAAAAGCACTAACGCAAATTTTTCATGAAAGCATATGGGAAGCAAGATGTGATTTATTATCAACATACACAAGTGGCCCAAACAAAGAAACCAAGAACGAAAGAAGAAAGGAAGAATATAGTAAAAAGCACGGGGAAATGTGACGAGGCACCTTCTCATTGTTCAGGGTCCTGATCAAGTCAATGGGGACCAGTTCTTCGTCCATGTGAGTGGAACCATCCGCTGATTTGCGAGTATAGACAACCAATGCCACCTTATCTGCAGATGAAGTGCCCACGGACCGAGTCACGGAGCCGATTAACTGAGCTTCTTCGTAACTGCCAAACATATTGGGGGCCAGAATCGGACAACCAATTGGTAGACGGACAAGTGCATTGGCGCCCGGTGCTTTGGAGGAACGACTGCTCGAGCCGGACATCAAATCATCCAACCGCATTAGACCAGTGGATGGGCGAGCAGGCAATCCAGCCGCGGCCGCAGCGGCGGCCTGTTAAAAGGAAACGGAACAGAACGCGATTTAACAGATGTGACGACGCTTGGTATTCGAAACGCTCGGATACACAGGTAGTCAGTCCAGTGTAGGACAATCGTCAATAATTCTTAACCAAAGATGGGTAGGAGATAGCCCAAAATATCTATCAAGTGCTTTCCATTAGCATGGCTGTATATTTTGAAAGCAGCAAGGTGAGACAAAAGCAAAACAGTATCAATTGGCGGTTATCTCGGAACACATCAAGGCTGCATTCCACTCGAGAGATCGATAAGAGATCGCAACCCAACATAGGTTGGAATATTGGTGACGACGGTTAGCGGGGAACAACATGTCTCATTACCTTGGAAACCACGGCTGTGCTGAAAAGCAGGTGGTCTGCACGGGAGACAGCTTTCCAAAATTGGACTACCAGTATAATAATCAGGTTGTTCTAAGGAGTATAAAGGAGACACAAACGATTTAAATGAAATTCAGCACAATAGGACCTAACAAGTGAGCCTCTTGTCCAAAAACTCGGTCCTTCAATGAAAATCAGCTTATTATGAAAAGCTAAGCAACAGCCTAGCTCTTTCACACAACACCCTCATGTACACTGTCAATCTATTACTAACGACGCAGTCCCACCAATAGTGTTTCCTCCTCACTCCAATAATTTAGAGCCGGCAACAGTCATCCAATCAGCGGAGCTTAGTGCGGCCAATAACCGAGGCCGTCAGGTTCGCACCTGACTGACTAGTTCGCAGGTCTCTTTGGTATGCCTGTTCCATCCGATATGCCAATTCCATCACATTCCTAACGTATGAAACAGCACTAAACGCCCGTTTTGCCATTATAATACTCCTTAGTAACGGACAATAGCTTCGCTTGGTGAACCAAACCGTGCAGGAGGACTTGTGCTTGGGAATTTTGGCGAAAACGACCATCTGACCTAACCGACCAACTGATCGTGATATGCTGGGACACATACCACAATCATTTACGCCGTCAAACCGGTATCCACCGTGTTTCCGTTAAACTGCGTTCTGTTGGTGCCAGTTACATTTCAGGCTGAAGCCCACGTGACCCGCTTATGCCGCCATGTTTTCTCCCGATTGACAGCTGTTTGCGATCGTATGGTGTTGACAAGGTTTAAGTGCCCCGACACTACATGTTTGCTAGTGGCATCTACGCTTTGCGCTAGATCCTTCTCCTCTCCAGTTTACCATCATTCATTGTGGCGAAGAATCAATCCAAATGGCTGATGTAGTGATGTTAATAGTGTTGTTCCAAAAGCATAGATCTCTCCTTTCTAAAATTGGATAGTATTAAATGAACGAGCTCCGTGATCACAGAAGTATGGCTGCTCTGGTGTTGTCTGGCGATATGAAAGCTCAAGCTTAAGAACTGTCTATTGATGAACTGCATCTGGGCTGTCAACACTGTGTAGACTCCCGTAATGAGATAGGTGAGCAATTGTTACACCTATGTGAAGATACTTGATTTTTTCTCGTGTGTGCTAACTTCAAGCACAGCAATCGCAGAAAGGTGGCATGGCGCCTACCAGCCTCGGAACAGTCATGGACGCAAATCAATCAGAACGCGATCTGTCATCGTTAGAAAGAATGCGTAAAAAACCGTTGCTCGATTTGAAGCACAAGCGTGGACTGTGATCTTGCACTTGTATGTGCGTATCTGTGGGTGGGTTTCGGCGGACGTCCACGATGACTATGTGAGCGCACAGACATCTTCTTCAACTGGTGAAGCTAGAGTTTTTGAATGCGCATCAAAGTATGCTGGTAAGCGGGTTGAATAAGTGCACAATGAGTACACTTGTGGGTAATTGGTCGCATATTCACCAGAACTTATTAGCAGGATGTTTTTAATATGATTACCAACCTCGCCATTAAGTTTCTACGCGGTTTCTGGAACGCATGGGAATTCGCCGACACATTCCGACAGTGAGCGAACACGAGACTCGCAAAAATCTCGGAGCAACACAGCGTTCGATCCGGAAGATAAAGTGTATCCTAGTGGTTTTATCGTACATCGTAGATGGTAATGGTTTCTGCTCTTGGAAACCATCGGAAGTTATCCCATCTGCTACAAGAGATGGGTGGGAGGAAACCAGGTGTTTGTAAAAATATATGCGACGAGAGTAGACAAATTAATTAAAAAAAACGCTTGTGGCGTTATATTGAGGATTTTGAAAACATTTCAAGAGGTCGGAACTTCTAGATTTTCTACAGACCAGTAACAGTCATGTCCCCCCCCCGTACCCTACATTTTATCTACCCTCTCGCTCAAAGTTGGACGTGAGAGCGGACTGCTGAAGTTGCATAAGGCCGCAAAACCGTCCATCCATCTTCAAATTCATGGGAGCTGCTCTTGTGGGTGATTTAAACGAGCTAATTGTGGAACGGTGGGAGTAGGACACTGTCCCAACCGACGAGCTGCTCCGTTAGTGTTTCGATCGTTAACGGAGCTCACGTTCTGAATGTAGCAATCGCAGTGGAAACAGTCGCATCTCCATCACCTCTACATTATTTGACTCTGTCGTGCTTCACAAATTAACTAGGGTCCATGAAAACCTACATCGAGAAGAGTAAGCAGGTTTTCGTCGAAGTCGTATCTTCATTGACCACATTCTCACCTTGCGTCAGTTGTTATAGCACTGGCTACCTACCTTAGTCGCGTCCCTCGACATCAAAGTGTCTTCCATTTGGTGGGTTGATGTGCCCTTTGGGGCTGTCTGCTCAGGAAGAGTGTACCCGAGAAATATGTAAATAATATAAGATGGCTTTACGCACATTGTTCGGGCAATTGCTGCTCCTCAATATCTTTAGCGGAATAAGACAGGGATGCCCGCTGTTGCCATTGATTTTCGGCTTCGTCTTCGACGAAATCATGGTGCGTTCACTGAGTACGAACCACAAAGCGTCTAGCTACTTCTAGGCGATTAAGTTCTTGAATTGGAATATGCCGATGATATTAACCTAATCTGTGACAATTCACAAAAGTGCTAAGCAGCACTAGATGTCAGTTGTCTGGGGTATGCAAAGGCTCGAGGTGCTTCTGCAAATCTTTATCACTTGTGGCGCCGAGGCAACATCACCCTCGCCATGAAAGTCCGAGTTTACAACGCAGACATCCGAAAAACCCCACTGTGTCTTTGCGAAACCTGGCCCATCAAATCGACAGATGTAAAGGGTCTTGTTACGTTCGATCATAGTGTAGAGGGGCCGCTTCCAAGAATGCCTCGGGGGAGCTCTTCGGAGCGAGCTGAAAGCGGATCGAGAAGGACGGTTAGCGACGAGCCTGGGCCCGGAACTACGGAGCGGGAATATGTGGACAGCGCAATAAATCAGACAAATACGCCGCTAGCGCAGCCCACAGGACCGAGGCCGAGCCGATTGACACAGCCCAGAACGAGCAAGTCGAGAGCTCTCGAACGACTCCTGGCCGATCCAAATCGGGTGCAGAGAAGCGGAGATCGAGGCGAAAACAGGAAGGCGGATCTTCCAAGTCAGAGCTCCCGAGGCGAAAGGACTGGCTCGGCTCTAACATCCGTACCTGTGTTGCGTTGTGGGACGGAAACCTAGTCGATATTCGATGGCGCGCGCGAGACCCTCAAATGCCCATTTTCGGTGTGCAATAAACGTCTAACCCCCTGTCGTGTCGTTTTCGCTACACTGGTGCCGTGACCAATCGTGATGGAGTTGACCCAGTTAGAGCAATTTGCGGCCGGTGACGTGGAGGCGTGGCTCGATGAGTTCGACGGAATTGCGGCTTGCACGGGGATGAGGGGGATGCAAATTTGCTAATTGCTTTGGGCACACGGTTGAGTGGACGAGCCAAGGCGGTGTATCTGCTCACTCGAAAGGCCAAACCCGGTTGTTCGTTCGCTGAGATGAGGGCTGCCTTGTGTGCAGAATTTGGGAAGGATCTGGAGAGAGAACGAGCACTGCAACGATTTCACGCAGCCAGGTGGGACGAACAGGAGGATTTGATGGTGTTTTTCCAGCAGCTGGACAGACATCTAACGATTGGGCTCCCCGAGTTAGAGGGCAAAGCAAGAGAGCGCCTAATGAAACAGCAGTTTATCCGAAGTCTGCCCGGTCCACTCCATGATCAGGTGAAATTGGCGTCGCTGGTGGGAGACAGCAAAGCGTTGGATCTGATGACGGTCGCCCAGAATTTGTCGGAACGAGTGACAGTGAGAAGCATCCAGCATGCTGAGTTGGAACAGCAAGTAAATCGCCTATCCGAAATGGTAGAGCAGCTGTTGTCGATACAGTCTTCAAGCACCACTTCACAACGCAATGTACGGGTAATCCGGAACGGTCGCCGCTGTTTCCGATGCAACCAGAGTGGTCATGTGGCGAGATTCTGCACTAACGTCAATGTGCCCCATTGTTTCTCTCTATCCATGCCGAGTCGGTGGCGAGTACCAGTCCTCCAGGTAACTATAGAAGGTGTGTCTGTCCGAGCCATAGTAGACACAGGAGCGGCAGTGTCAATTACGAAGTTCAATGGGGTGCCAGTAAACCCATCTTCAATCACGATGCAGACGGTCGGCGGGCATTCTTTGAAAGTGACGGGCACGCAGCGGTTACGAATCAGGATAGGAGAAACGCTCATCAGCCATGACATGTTCATCGTGGAGGAGACGACCGAAACCATCATCGGAACCGACATCCTGAAACGGCTCGGTGTCACAATTGACCTGAAAAACGATGTGGTGATCGTGGCTAACGAGACGATCGACATAAACAAGGGGAGAACCGACCGGGTTGGTGCCCTCAAAGCCGTGCCTGATTGTCAGAACCGTGCAATACGCAACGTACTGAGCAGGTATGCCCACTTGTTCACAGACGCGGAAGATGATTACGGATTTTGCAATTGGGTTGAACACCGAATACCGTTGATCCCAGGAGGACAATGCAAGCCAATCTTCAGACGAATTCCACAGAACACCTTGGTTGAGGTACAGAAGCAAGTGACCGAGATGGAATCGAAAGGAATCATCAGGCGAACGCACAGCCCGTATTCATCACTCGTGCTATTGACGAAGAAGGCCGACGGAACCTATCGATTTTGCATCGATTTCAGAGAACTAAACAGGGTGACGGTGAAGGATGCATTCCCGATGCCTCAGATGGAAGAAATTTTCTCAAGCCTTCACAGTGCGAAGCAGATATCTCTGATTGATCTCCGCTCGGGATAGTGGCAACTGCCGATCGCAGAAGAAGATCGCCACAAGACGGCGTTCAGTGTCAATGGCCAGCAGTATGAGTTTTTGAGAATGCCGTTTGGATTGTGCAACGCCCCAGCTACATTCAGGCGTTTGTTGTTGATGGTCCTGGCGAACCTGGAAGGCGTGGTTGTTTATGGTGATGACATCATCGTCTTCTCTGAGACGGAACAGGAACATGTGACCAGACTTGGAGCAGTACTGCAGAGACTGGACGAAGCTGGTCTGAAACTCAGTCGTAAAAAGTCGCAGATTGCCCAAAAGTCGATTGTTTGCTTGGGTCACATCGTGGGCAATGGTCAAGTCCATCCACTTCCGGAGAAACGCGAGACGATCAAGTGCTTCGCAAAACCAAAATCCAAGCGTCAGCTCCGTTCGTTCTTGGGAGTGGTGGCATTTGATTCAAAGTTTGTGCCCCAGTTCGCAGAGAAGGTCAGCCCGTTGTTAAAGCTGCTTCGCAAGGACGTGTCGTTCGTGTGGACAGCTGAAGCGGATCAAGCCTTTGACCATCTAAAGGCGTGCATAGCAGAAGCCCCGACATGTCTACGGCTACCCAATCCTGGTGAGAGGTTCACTGTGGCTGTCGACGCAAGCAACGTGGCAATCGGTGCGGTTTTGTCTCAACCGGCTGGGGTGGTGGAGTACGCGAGCAGAGTGCTGACGGGGGCGGAACAGAAGTATTCAACCACGGAGAAAGAATGCTTGGCCATCGTGTGGGCGTTAGAGAAGTGGCGAAATTACTTACTGGCGAATGAATTCCGGGTCGTCACTGACCATAAACCGCTCTCGTGGTTGATGACGGCGAAAGACCCGCGGGGACGGCTTGCGCGATGGGCCTACCGATTGCAGGAATTCAACTTCACCATTGAGCACGTGGATGGAACGCAGAATGTATTGCCAGATATGTTATCACGCCCGTGTTTGGACGACATCATGCCAGACAATGCCATACCGGTGCGGGCGATCGCGATGGGGGAGAGGAACCTGCTGGGAGATCAAAGGACAGATGAATTCGTGAAGGTGTTGTGCTCTCACTTACAGGCTGGCACCAAACCGGAGGCCACATCGGAAGAGGTGGAGGAACTCCTCAAGATCTGGGACAGGCTGAAGGTCGAAAACGATAACGTGGTGGTGGCGATAGACGGACGAAAAGTGCCTTTTGTTCCACCAAATCAGCGAGAACGTGTGATGCGTATAACTCATGATGGCGCCCATATGGGATTCGAGCGGGTCTTTGAATTGCTGCGGAGGCGAGTGTTTTGGCCAACCATGAGGAAGGATGTCGCGGCATACATTAGGGGGTGCCCAAACTGCCAAACGAGTCGGGAGATGGAGTCCCCGAGACCGCCGATGCGATCGATGGAGGTTGGTGAGCCACTTCAGTGTTGGGGACTGGACGTCTTTGGGCCCTTACCAGTGAGTCGAACAGGAAACCGATACATTCTAGTGATGATTGACCACTTCAGTCGGTGGGTGGAAGCCATACCAATCAAAGACCAAACAGGCGAGACAGTGTCGCAAGTATTCGAATTCAATGTGCCTGCAAGGTATGGGATCCCACAGTGTATCATCACGGACCAAGGGTCCTGCTTCGAGTCAAAAGCGTTTAAGGCAGTGTTGGACAAGTGGGGCATCCAGAGACGGCGAACTTCACCGTACCACCCACAAACCAACGGCATGACCGAGCGGTTCAACCGGACATTGAAGACGTGGATGAACTGCACGAAGTTGGCATGGGAAGATGCTTTGCCTCAGGTTCTGATCGCGTATCGGACCAGCATGCAATCAACCACCAAGGTCTCGCCATTCGAATTACTGTTCGGCAGGGAACCACGGATTGCGCTCGATACTTGCCTACCGAACCAGAGTGAGCGGAAACATCCAGCTGGGCATCAAGAGCGACTGCGAGGGAAAGCTAGAAGCGAAACTAAAGCTGGACAAGCGCGGAATAAGCGAAATTACGACGCCAGGCATGAAGCTCACAAGTGGAGGCCATTCAGCATTGGAGAACGAGTCAAGTTACGGAACAACGATCGGCCGGATCATGACGGGCCGGGCGCAAGCAAGTTCAGGGAACGCTGGAAAGGCCCCTACACCATTATCGACCAGAAAGCGGGCAACTTCTTAATCGACTGCGGAGGAATGGAACGTTGGGTGAATGCTGCTCTCCTGCGACCATGGTACGAGAGGAAGAAAGGTCCTCGAGGAGGGGCGGGTGTAGAGGGGCCGCTTCCAAGAATGCCTCGGGGGAGCTCTTCGGAGCGAGCTGAGAGCGGATCGAGAAGGACGGCTAGCGACGAGCCTGGGCCCGGAACTACGGAGCGGGAATATGTGGACAGCGCAATAAATCAGACAAATACGCCGCTAGCGCAGCCCACAGGACCGAGGCCGAGCCGATTGACACAGCCCAGAACGAGCAAGTCGAGAGCTCTCGAACGACTCCTGGCCGATCCAAATCGGGTGCAGAGAAGCGGAGATCGAGGCGAAAACAGGAAGGCGGATCTTCCAAGTCAGAGCTCCCGAGGCGAAAGGACTGGCTCGGCTCTAACATCCGTACCTGTGTTGCGTTGTGGGACGGAAACCTAGTCGATATTCGATGGCGCGCGCGAGACCCTCATGTGCCCATTTTCGGTGTGCAATAAACGTCTAACCCCCTGTCGTGTCGTTTTCGCTACAATAGGTGCCTTCATAGATTAGCTCACACCATGTGCTCAATGAGCGTGTTCGACGTAAACTTTATGGCGCAGGAAGGGCAAGGGGATCGGTCAACACCATTATTGCAAGCACAGCACTCCGAGGACTGGGCCATCTGCTACAAACATGCCAGCATACCGAGTCCAGTGACATGCGTTGTTTGAACAGCATGGGCCTGGGTGGAACAAAAGCAGTGGAGTCCGACCCGTGACTTGATCAAAAGGCATGAAGGCAGTCATTTCGAAGTTAGCCTTAGCTAGAGCCTCTCGGTTCCCCGGTTGGTGTACTAAAGGTGACGAAAACATCTGGCTGAATACACTTGTTTGTGGGGTGAGGAGTTACTTTAGCTCGTTCCCCAACCAAAATCTCGTTGTTAATGCATAATATGAAACAAAGCATAACAATAACAGGGATGTTCCTCATCCACAGCTAATGTATCAGATGACAATATGAATTTTCCGTTTGAATTTCGGTTGGCATTGGAACCCGCTTTCTTCTCGCATGGTCCAGTGTACTGCCGAACTGCAGCCTCATGACATAACACATTGAGCGCCTCAAAGCTGGCGTAAACTATGCATGGCACCGAAGAGAACGGAAACGACATCGGAGCACACAGGAACGAGGAGTCAGAGATGTAGCATAAGGAGGGCGGGGAGGCGGTCCTCTCCGGGCGGCATTTTTACTACCGTCGATTGTTCGATACCAAATATAAAGGGCAAAATATCCGGATAAGGTGCGGGTTAAAGACTTTAATGTTACTCTGCATGATCAACAACATATTTGCGCTGTGTCACACTTGTGCAAGCGTTCTTCCCAGCAATCCCTTCACTTGTCCCATTGTGGTCACTTTCATCACATTTCCCTCAATGTCTCAAACGATCAGCTATTTCATCTAAAACTAATGTGCACTTTACTCTGAGCCAATAGTATGGCCTTCGCGCGCCTATTCTGGCCTCCGTCATGGTGGTAAAAGTTGTTGCTACGCCACTGCGAGGAGTTCTTGCACCAACTAAGAAAATCAGAATGGTTTGTTAGTATATGGGCTGGTCCATAGAAGAGAGTAAAACGACGGACTTGAATACACACTTTAGGGGCACGCACCTCATCTATTTTCGAGTAAACCACAGGCAAAACAGTGGAGATCTATTATTAGAAGCAATATCGTGGTCTAGGTAAAATAAAGTACTTAGTTCCATTTCTGACTTTGTCTACTTACACCCATACGGAAGCTACTGATAACGATACACTGGTGAGATCACCTTGAGGGACAATCAAATTGCCAAGCTCATCGGATACCAAAACAGCCTCAGTGCGGGATACTTGTTGAGCCCTGCAACAGCGAAAAGTGAGCTAAATGTAGAACGTATGGAAAAAATAAACAGGTCTAAAGTAATCTGGGATACGCAAGAGGTTCCGTTAGTTAGATTTCCTAAGATCAGGAAATTGTGATGGAGAAGGTAACATTTTTGTTGGTAATTCTAGTTTACAGAGTACAATCTAGCGAGTTGCAACTGCGGCGCAAACCTCGCATCAGAGTGGCCGGATATACTGGCCATTCATTAGACATTGGTACTTGGTGACATCAATGCGGCGGAAAACTCTACCAGCAGTACCAACAGTGGTAAATACTAGTCTTGGTGTAAAAAAACTGTAAGTATATGTCACACGTAGTCTAAGTTGACCAACCGAAAATTGATCAACCTTCACCGCAAGGGTGGTGGAACATATTGTCTCCGAAGATCGATTCGTACGAGCAATACACTAGTCCTTTACACTGGTGACACGTGGCCAATTGATCGCAAACGGTTGCACGCGGGCTGTGATACGGTAGGGACGATAAACCCGTGCAGGATCGTGTATTCAAACAGAGGCCGGAATCCAAATGACTGAACTCCTAAATCACAGATCCCGTAAGCTGAGGCGCGTTAGTATGGAATGAACCAGGCACATCATTCACACGTAAAATACTAGGAGGAAAGTAAACAAAAAGGTCTTAAAGAGCGCCGTTGTACTGACCGGATCAAAGCGAGGATCGTCTTCTGGCAAATCTATAATAGCACGTCTTCGAGTTTGCTTTCCTCTAGCTCGGCCTCGCGAAGTCGCACTGTCCACTCTTTGCTCTGTTAGTTTTGAGCTGGATACTTGTTTAGCAAGTAGATAGTCCAGTGAAGCCTTGTAGTCGCCCTTGTTGATTTTCAAAGCTGAGTTGGCTAACGGAGCTGCAAAACCCAAAGAAATCAACTGAGCCAGTGACTCATCATACGCTTGCATTTTCTCCGCACGTAAGTCAGCAAACCTGTAGCGGAAGACAACAATGAGGGAAGAGAAGCAAGATGGATAAGCAAAAAAAAACAGGTTAAAAAGATGCGGGAGGTGAACGATAAGTCAAGAGAACAGTAGGGCAGCAGGCCACAGGATGTATCTCCAACCTAATGATCGGGTAATACCTTTTTTGTAGACAGTTTCGGTACTGCTTTCTGCCAACCGAACAAGGACGAAGTCTATCGTGAAGTGCAGTGTAGGGACAGAGCAGTTCCGAAATTCCCAATAATCCCAGTAATCGAAATCGCAGATTTAATTCTAAGTAAACCTTGGTACAAGTTGACATTGCTAAGCCACAGTCCAGACACACAGCGAGTACACTAAATGCAAGCAACGACCTTCGTGCAGGTGATGGTGTAGGAGTCTAGTCACGTCCTCAAACGAAACGAATAGACAGTCGAAGACAAGCACTGGACGCTGAAGTACACTGGAGCACAGGCAGCCCTCGCTCACACTCTGGAAATCCTCGTCATTGTTATCAACTGCTTCACTCGTATCCACCTACAGGTTATCAGCTAGATCATAAGGCTGGCTTCGACGTACGTAAGTTCGTGCTGATGAAGAAACGCGACTTCTGAGGTCACTGCCAAAGTCAGCGGGGGGACGCATTGAGCACATATGCAGTGACAACGCTAAGCGACTAGACCAGTGCAAACAGCCCGCATGTGCGATTCAGCTAGACAGCTAAGTTTTCTAGCGATTGCGATTCATAGAAAGCGCCGCCTTAACACCGAGGTGCATGTTGGCAAATTTGAAGCCGATGAACGTGAGTTCAGTGGTCAACATGGCGACAGTGCTCTCACAGTGGCGATGGCCCACTTCAACTTTGTGTCGACCACAATATACTTCTCCCAAGCATTAGCTTTCAGCGATAAGATGGCCAACGCGTCACCAAGAGAACCTCGTTACCAAGCCAGCCGTGAACATAGGCTGGCCGGCACCATCATTCACCGCTGGCAAGGTTGCAAAAGGAATGCAAATCAGCATGGAGTACTTACCCTACTTCGGTGTAAGGTGAAGTCACCTTTCGCGTTGGTGCCACTCTAAAAGTGTCACCGTAAAGGATTTAACGTAGCTAGGCTTCCTACCACAATCGTTCTAAACGCCCCAAACCCAAGAATTCTCCGTTGACACTCACTGTGTACACATAAGCAGTGCCTTACACAAGCCCATCTTAGACCTCGGAATCAGATGTCATGATGAGCTGTGAGTGCTTCAAAATTTTGAAGCCTGTCGAAAGATCCGCGCTGGTGTTGAGTACAACTGACTGTGCAGGAATAGCAAAGCTAAGCCCAAAGAGAGTTTTTAGAAAGGCTGGTTGGCGAGGTATAACATCGAAGGGAAATAAGTGGTCAGCTTGAGAAACAGGCGTGAATGTTTCCTTTTGATACGACCCATTGGCGACAAAAAAAACGACACTGAGCGAAGTTTTGAGTGAAACCAAGGATGAACCAATTCACAGTCGTCAAAGTCAACTTGAAGTTTAGAATCGGTTTGAACCGAAAAATTATGACGAAATTTCAACAGGGCAGCAGCAGCGTCGAGTCACTCTTTAGGAATCCACAGTGCTCCATGGTGTGTGAGACCGAGGTAACCTATGAGATTTATCTCCCGAAGCAACACAAATCTCCTAGCAGAGAAAAACTCACTTTGAGTCCTTCCAAAGATGGGAGTTACATCCGTCAGTCGTTAGTCGACTTTCATTTCCAATAGGTTTGAATTATTAAAATCGTGCGAATGGAGCAAAGCAAATTTCGTAACTGTCTTCAGAAAGAATAATCGAATAGATTGCATCAAATATCGAGCGATCAGCCCCATCTGTGTTGAATACAGAGCGCGCATGGCAATGCTTCTAAAAAAGACTCAGTTGGGTACGCGAAAAGAACATAAATAAACAGTTGAATTTCGCGTTGTTGACCAAATCTACAGGGTTTGATAAGTAACTGAGCGATGTTTGATTGGTTAACAATCGCTCACTTAGACATAAGAGCAACGTTTGACGTTGTTGACAGAGCTACTTTCTGGGATTGTCCATTGAGAAATGAGGTGTCTGAGAAATATGTCAACATCCTCCAGTCGATTCACCAGACATACAGGAAAGCGCTGGACGGCCGTTTCGTCCTATAGGAACTCGTCAGTAGTGCACACCCGCCGGACTCGAACCCAGGACAATACTCTTGCGAGCCAGCGACTTATGTCACTGAACCATGAGTGACTGCGGCGGACCGCGATGCCTGATATCTAAATGTGATATAGCGCGACTCATCCTCCACTGTCATGCGTGTTATGAACGTGTAGAGGACAGGGTTGGCATTCGACTGAACAAATTAGGTGTAATGATAAACAATTATCCATGGAGCCGAAGTACTCTACAACGCTTCCTAGCTTTGGAGTGCAGTTTGGAAATTCGGTGTTCAAGGCCCAACAACTGCCGTTGCAAGTGTCCACAGGTTGGCTCGTCCGTGTAAACTGAACAATCCCGGCAAGTAACTGACTAGCGATTAACATGCTGATGTTGATACTACATGTTCTGTTCCACATATTAGTCACGAGAGTGAGTGTAGCTATATTTCCCGCTGTTCATCCGTCATACTGAACTTAGGTGTGCTTAGGAAAAGGCAACTATTATCCAGATAAGCGGCGGAAGGGCAAAGGTGCCTGCTACAATTTGAATCAGAAATGGCCAATCCTCTGGATTGACTTAGAAGTAGGTAAGTCCAAATGTGGTGGTACGGCAGTGCTTTAGTACATATTTTATTGAAAAATAAATCCACGCACAGAAACAATTGATTTGTAGCGCAGAACAGCTGCAACCGAGATGTATGAAGACAGATTGTTAGTGAATTGTAAGCGGTTAAATTACCATGAGAACCGCAGGCTGCATGGAAAAATCATAAGTTCAGCTAACCACATTATCTGCGCCATCTGCCGAGGCTCTTGATAACCCATTATTTGTCTACCCTCATGCGATTAACTATGCAATGCTCAATGTCTTCATTGCAAATCGCACCATGGAGATAGAGATTCATTGTTTTCCTAGCCATATCTAAGTGGTTCCATTCTAACACCCGCTGTTAGATACGTTTGTGCCCATACTGTGTAATATGCCTAGGTGTCCTATCGCATATCAACTCGAGAGATTCTCCAGTTATCCATCGTGTTATTCCCTTCATTCCTCATTGGCCCGGAGAAACACTATACGCGCCATCCTATGCGGTTGTTGGACCCATTAAACGAGCTGATTTGTCTTTATCCTGCGCATCGCAAAGACCCGATTGCATTAGGACTGAGGTATGTACATATTGCATTTAAGCTGTATTTCGTTTAATTATACCGTAGATAAACGTCTCGGTTTTCTTTATTGATTGGACCCGAGAGTTGTTACCCGAGCCCCCAAGGGAGTCTGTCGTTCACATAAATAGCTTATCGTCACAGTAGAGTATACAGCCATAGACGTCAATGGCTGAGTAATTGGATGTTATGCAAGCTATTTCTTGTAAACTAGCTAAAACAGTTTGAGCACTTTTTCCAAAGCCGAATGTAAAACAGGACGCAGCGGGATTTACCAGATGTATTTTTCCTGTGAGCGCGTTAAAGCGGTTATCAGAGAATGTGTGATATTACCAAATTCTAACGCATACAGCAGACGGCATCTACGGCATACACTAATGATAAGACATTACACTTTTACTGCACCGCTTATTTGTGCATCATTCCACCTGGTACCCATATTGATGGCATTTGCTTCCCTGTTCCTATCTCTCTCTAGCTATTGTTGATGCCCACTCTTCTGATGTTTGAACGTTGACTAACCACTGACAATCGCCTTGGTTGCTTATAATTGTGCGTGTGACTTTCCAACACTAGAGAAATATGGATGTTATTCTTACATTCAATCCATACTCATTCACGTTCGTAGTGTTATTGCTTAGGAGCATTATGGTTTCTCCATCCAATTTGTGGTATTAAATATACAAATGTGAACAAATGCCCGCTCGCAACACTGCAATTGGAACCAGGAACCTTTGATATATCAACTGATATCTCATGTTGAATAACTAAGTGGAAGCCATTCAGAAACACTTGTAAGCGACACACTTCAGTTTGACAGACTGATGGCATTTTCACTTGCGTGACACAATTATATTCTGGCTAGATGTCTAACTAGGGTTCGCCGAAATTACAAGTCGCACGAACATCTGTTTGTGTCTCGCAACCTTCTCACTTGACAGATGGGTCTTATTACATTTCTTCTCGTGTGACACCGTGACTTATTGCAGGTTGCAATATGAGGTCAATATATCCCATACGTGCGTCTATACGCCCCCTTATACTGCTGCCACCTTCAGGTAAGCGCACTGAGATTCAGACAAGTCATCAAGGTTGATTCCGGTACAGCAGCAGCATGATGTGACATGCGAATCGAAATGCTTGGGTACGGGTAACATTCTAGGCAATGATGAATTGGTCGGTATATGCTAGCGGTCAGAAGGAATGACCAGGGGGAAATAAATAGTAAGGCACGACGGACTACCTGGTGGTTCCACATACCTGTTACTTCTCGCTCACAAGAGACGATCATAACCGGCTCCGGTTTATCTTCCGACACGGATAGCCTGCAGCATACACCAACGATAAGTCATCAATGTTCCACTATGCTTCTACTTATTCGTTAAATTGAGCATAGCTATAATTCCCGTTCTTTCACCGCGGACTTTAACTTAGCTGAGTTTACAAAAATCAGTAGACTTTATCGCACCATATCCCTGCTAACTTGTAAAGTTGCTTACTCCATCTCCGTCATCTTCTTATTGTCATCCTTATTCTATCGCGCATGTAAGTCACGCTTGGGTACAGTTTCACTCTGGGATGATTAAGCACTGACTTGGTGCAAAATAGTATATTTATTGCACCTGCCTAGAACAGATGAGTAACATATAACCTACCTTTATTGGGCTTATCTAACTCGGTTGTATTTCGCGGTTATTTCACGTGTTGCCCACTACACTGTTGTACTCAGCATGATCTACGATACACTTGTGACGTTCTCAAGTGGAGTCTAGTACGGTGACATACCGAGACGGCGAGCTACGGCATCTTTCCACTTCGTACTATCATTCGGTCGCGATTCACATCACTATGTAAGCTTCATGGTATTGCTCACCAGACTATGCTACCTACATTCTGCTCCTTTAAATCGATTTGTAGATTACATGACCCTAGTTTGACCAGCAGCCCACTGCTAACTAGCACGACGCTTTCAGAGTCGATGTATCGCCGGATAAAGGTTCAGGCTATCCATGTGCTCATTGGTATTTGACGTGCGCGCGGTTTCCGAACGAACTGTGCTGTTGATACGGATCAATGCTAGGGTGATAAATTATTGTGCATATTTCCAGTTCAGCAGATACGTGTGAACCCAAGGGTTACCAGCGCTTGGCTGCTTACAGTACGCATAAAGTGTAAGGTTTAACATCTGGAGCACACAATGCTCAACGATTGTCCCTCGTGTGACCACGAAGAGAATGACCCCGGGGAAAATCCGTGGCAAGTGAACAAGCCCCGCAATGAATGATGAGAGTGAGCGTAGCTTTATTTCCCGTTGTTCATCAGCCATACTGAATTTACCGGGACTTGTGATAACGCAACTACCAAGCGGATTGAAGACGGAAGCGTAGAGACGCTAACCAAAAGTTGAATTGGACATGGCCAATCGTCTGGATGGACTAAGAGTGGTACGTCAGTAGTGTCTTAGTACCATCATCATCATCAGCAGCATCATTACACGTTAGCTGGAGGTGGAAAACACCTCAGCTATTGTGTCGCAATACAAAAGACAAGAAAAGGAAAACAAACAGTGGCACGCCGGCTGAGTCCCCAGTAACGGATGGACATCGTTCAGGAGAGCTAACAGCTGGCTGCCGTAAAAGAGAGTCCTATTATGCCTAACAAGTGAGATCGTGATTGGAGGGGGATGCTAAGCAGGAAGGGGATGGACATAGGAACTCACAACACAAACGCCATTGGGGCCGGCTCCAAGCCATATCAGCAAGTGTGTCCAACCAAACGTGTTCACCGTCCTTAGGACCCCAGCCAGGCAGTCGGGATACACCAACCGACGCCAACTTCGAAATGAAGGGTTTTCATTTCTCTCGACCAAGTCATCACTTGGCCTCCCATCCTCCTCTTCCAACCGCGACCACAACGCGCAAACAACGCACGTTACGGGAGTCGGTGTGCTGGCATGCGCAACAAGTGGCCCAACCATCGGAGCCTGGTGCGTGATATAATGGTGCTGAGCGGTTCACCCGCTCTTCCTACACCAAATACGCGACGTCGAAGACGCTCATTGCTCACGCGGTGTTCCAACCAGACATGAGCTAAGCTGCGAAGGCAGCGATGATCGAATATGACGAGCCTCTTTATGTCTGTCGACCTGATGGGCCAGGTTTCACAGCCGTATAGGAGAGTTGAACGGACGGTTGCGTTGTAAACTCGGCCCTTCAGAGCGAGAGTAATGTCGCGTCTGCGCCACAGGTGGCGGAGATTGGCAAAAGCATCTCGAGCTTTTGCTATACGGTTCGTAACCTCATCTTCAATCCGAATCCGACGAGGGTACTCATACCGCTTTGTACGGCCAACTTAGTGCAGGAATGCAGGACTGGGGCAAACCGAAAAGAACATTCCCAGGACATAAACAAGGTGAGTTTATGACAAACTAATTTTGATTTTAGGTGTTGCAATTCCAAGGCAAAGATGATCGATGCGAACGCGTGGACTGATCAAAAGGGCGGTTGCCCAAGTGCAGGAGAAGGCAGTAATGCACGCGGAATAGGAGTACGATGCATTCTCCCCCATTCGATTTATTAATCCAGGCCAATAAGGCGGCGTATGTGATACGGTTGTCTGCGTGATGAGTATTCTTGCATTTCAGAAGATACATGTTGTTTGAGCTTCCCGGCGTGACTGCGCTTGATGTGAATGTTGACAAGGTACCTGCCTGTCTAATAACCTGCACCTCGATTGCTGGCTGCAGGAGACAGTTGGTCGTTGCTGGAGAGGACGAGGTGAACCGCCCGCGTGACGGTGCTAGGCTCAAATAGTGGTTCCATTCTGAGAGGAACGGGCTACGGTCCAGCCACCGCATAGTGTATGTCTGGCATGTCTGATTTCCCAAATAGGCAGGAATGCTTCTGTTCTGCTTGTTGAAGGAGTGTGGGCCGGCTCCGTTGATGAAAAGTGGCTCCCATCCATATGCCTCCCTGTCTTATTCCTTCGGGTTAACACCGGAAATGGGGGGTGTGAGGGGAACTGTGGATGATGAAGCGCAAGCCACCCGTATATATATATATATATATATATATATATATATATATATATATATATATATGGTTGGCGGCATCCGGTTTCGGATTTGCCTGTCACTGTAGCCAGCCACAGGACGCCTGCGCCTACAGAGGGACCATGGGTGGCTTGCGCTGTACCACCCACAGCTCCGATCACACACCCCATATCCAGTGTAAACCCGAAGGAATAAGACCGGGAGGAATGTGGATGGGAGCCACGTTTCATCAACGGAGTCGGCCCGCAATCCTTCACAGGCAAACACAAGCACGCTGTATTTGGGGAATTAAGCGCACATAAGGCGGTGGCTGGACCGTAGTCCGCTCCACACTGAGTGCATGGAACCGCTCTAGGAGCCTAGCACGGCCACAAGGACCGTGCACCCCGTCCCCTTCAGAAACGACCAACAGTCTCCTGGAGCCAGTATGAACGAGGTAGTGGGTAATAGACAGGTAGGCACCTTGTCAACATGCACATCAAGCGCAGCCACACCGGGGATATCAAGCAACAGCCATTCACTTTAAACGACAAGCTGAAATAAAACAAATCCAATAATGCATACAGATACGGTGGCATAACTCTTCCCTAAATAACCGTATGAAGTAAGTTCGTTAGCAACGAATCTGTGATAAGTAAGAAATGTCCACAAGTTACCTAAAAATGCTACAAACGCAACAAAACTACCGAAGATAAGCGCAATTAGCGTAAAGCAACGTGGCCAGTTAATAGAACATTATTCAGGTAGGCAAAACAAACCAAATAAAGTGGAATGAAATTTATCCAGCTTAAAAAGACCTAGTTTAAGTGTAAGTTGGTTTAGCCCAACTGCGGTGAAGAATGCATCAAGAATGCAACATCAGCAGAATGAATGAAAAATAGAATGTTCTTATGATCCAAGATTAAAGCATAGGGGTGCCAGAAAGTGTGCAGATTCAAAAGAGCTGGCATAGGTTCGCAAAAAAATTCGTCACATTTTAGTCGGTAAAGGAAAAGGTAATGTGTCTGGCTGCCAGCGTAGGCCAACCGCCATAAGGAAGAACTAACAAGGTCAATATGCAGTAAGCTACAGTCTGTTAGAGAGCAATACATGAGTCAGACGATCTGACTCTTGGGCATTATCTGGTTTTGACGTCGGCCTCAACTTGTTCTAACCTTCGAAACAGATGATTGACCACAGATCCCAAAATTTGTTGATCGGCACTCTAGAAACATGAAAATCCTACCAGAAGAACAGAACTTCGTTTGGAAACAATAGACTGACGGACATTCAAATAGAGGATTGGTAGCGAAACTGACTGATAACTTAGAGATGAGGGCAAAGAGTGATTGTATACTAAAGTCAACTTACTTAGACCCTCCTGCATGGAACCGAAATTTAGCGGAATAGTTAGTCTGGTCCGACTTCACTCTGGCTATCACATCCTTCCGACGTTCATTAAAAGATTCGTCGAACTCGTTTTCCTTGTCGGCTGTGTTGGAGCTGGTCGCCAATTTGAAAGAGTCGAACGCATCTGAAAAGTGGGACGATAAGGCGGGGATTTGAAGAGCATAGGAGAAAATCCGGTGAAGAAAAAGACGGACAAACTGACGCACTCTCTGTTCTGTTCCGATCTCGAATCGACTGGAGAAATTTGCGTTCTAACTGGATCAAGTCAAAAGCCTCACGGCTACCGAAGGGAACGAAAGGAGGTGCACCACTGCTGTAACGGCTACCACTACTTCCAAACATCTGAAAAATAAAACAAATGACCATGGGATTAGAAAAATGGGACAGCGACAGAAAAGCTTGTTGTGTCTGGCGTACAGTCAGAACGTAAACGTGTCACTGGTTTCATAATTAACATACGGTCACCATCGGAGAGCGGCGCAAGACATATGGGGAAAGTGAGCGGGACAACGAATCAAAGTGTAATTTACTTAAGAGTAGAGGATTTTAAATGTAATTACTAGTGGGTTCTTCGCAGGCAGTCCTACACAAGCGTGTAAATGCACTAGACGAGCGATTCCTCCTGTTGGGACTCGTCGACAGCGTGCATCTTCTGGCCCCAACAGGAACAGAACCCATGACCAATGGGGAGTTATGCGCCTGACACAGTAGCTTATGCCACAAAGTTAGAAAAGACGGAGGGCGGCGGATAGTTAGAAGTCATCTTCACGACCATAAAAGCTATGAACGTTGGAGGGGGGGGGGGTACACAGGGATGGCCCCGTGAGAGATGCGCACTACCAACGAGGCGTGTGGAGGACGATCTGACTCGGAAGTTACTGCGAAGAACCCACAAAGGTTAACCGTCGGCGCGGTGGAAACAGCCAAGATCAAAGGCTTTGAACGGATAAGGCGGAGTTGGGCTAGGAAATGAGTATTGGGCTGCCTCGACCCGACGTCCATGGACAATATAGGCCAACGAACTCAGTGTAAACACCAGCAAGAACGTGAATGCTCTTTAACAAGAACCAAACAAATAAATAAAGAAATGTGTGTATTTACCGACAGACGGTACACGGCCCCATAAGTGGGAGTTGGTGACTTATCATCTTCGTTGTGTCACCTGAATCACCCTTCGAATTGTAACGGTAATTATCCAATGACAGGTATCGTTTTCGCAATTATCATCCTAATTTGTGGTAAAAAATTACGCTACCTCGTCTGAAGAAGCGTTTGATAAAGCACGAAACGCAATCAAAATACAAGCCTGTAAAGAATTGGCTTATAGGCCGAAATTTCCGAATTTATGAGAAGATAGTACTTCTGATTGCAACATAAGTTAGCCGACCCGTGTGTATGCATCGTTCACATAGGACAATCAGTGCGGCGAAGATAGGTGCAGCGATTCTGCAGTGATTTGAGGAGACCATGTTGACATAGCTTGTTTTGTAATTCAAAGTCGTTGGTTTATATGGAGAAAGCTACCGATATTCAGTGACACCAAAATTGACAACAAAGAGTAAAGACAGGATAAGTCGTTTGATAGAGTCAAATTACGACAAACGTTCTACTTTCTAGGATGCGGTTCAGCTGCTGAAGCATGTTTCGAATGCTAAACCACGAGGGAAAGTAATCATAAAGTAAGTCATCATGATGGAAACAATTAACATCCGTCAATGACACGACAGGGAAATGAGAGTGCCTCGAGAAAAAGTTGATGGAAAAGGAAAAAAAAATTAGCTTACGCCTAGTGACCAAGGCGTAAGCCGCCAATAATTTTGTGCCAGGGCCCACTCTCAGGTCTGGATGTCTCTACTTAAAGTCAAATCAACATAGGCTTCATGAACCGTAGTGAGTTCATTTTCAGCATTTAACCACCACTGCGGATCCACTGGAGAATAAAATCAATAAAATAAACAAGTGGGGAGAAAATGGAAAGCATCCGGAACTGTCACTCGAAACGCACTCGTGTAGCATATTTATGACGTTTATTGGGCCAGTATACAAAGGTGAAAGATAAGGCAAGACAGTATTATGATGCGATGAAGTGAGAGAGAGTGAAAGTATGAATTTCGAAAATGTAGAAGAGAAATAGGGTGTTCTTGAAAATTCTGTGTGCGGTGGATGAAATTAGTCATTTAGTACCACAGAGGAAAAGTCACTGTAAACATCAAGGAATTGATCGAATCAACTAGAGAATCTCTAGACAAGCCGCTGTATCTAGAAATGGGCTCTATCGACCATACCAATAAGATGTAGTCTTTCTTAAGCAATACCGGAAAGATGACAGGGAAGTGATATAACCAATGAAAAGTAATGCATGAGGTCACAAACCTATAGATTTAAGTAGAGGTACTAAAAGCATCTTAAGTCTTAGGGGATAAAATGTGAGCTTTCCAAGTTTATGAAATTGCACGGAAGTGTGGATTTAGAACAAAAAATACCGAGATACTTGACAGTGGATGGTCTGCGGATGTGATTTAGGTTCACAGTCAGAAAGGTAATAAACAAACTGTCAAGAGAGCAGCATTTCAGACGTGGTCCTCGTGATCCTAAAAGGTAAAGTCTTCTTTCATTATAAACCGTGGTTCCAGTCGAGATTGAATGTCGCAATGCGGACAAAAGCAGGGTACAACAAAACCGAGTAATGAAAAGACAATCGTTTGGTAAAGGGTCAACAGTAGAGAAAGGGTAAAGTAATACCTTTTACGCCGTAAAACAGGCGTAATCAAGCGACTCAGATGGGTGGTATCGAAAAAGGAGGAAGTAATTCGGTTGACGAGCAGCACCCATTGTTGATGCAAATCTGTCGTCAAACTGTATTGTGGTTAAATTTTCGAGCGAAGATAGTGACTGAGACTGTCATCGTTCGGTGCATATGCGAATGCCTAATGCGACATAACCTCCTCGAAGCACTTCCGGTTTATCGTGCACTAGAATAGATGACAGATTTAAACTACGGGACTTTGTGAATGAAACTTGTTTTAGTGATCGTTGTAGTCGATAATCTAGAGCGTGATGATCACTGAAGTCAAAGTGGGTGTAAACTACCCGTGATTCCGTTGGCCAAACGTAAAAGACACAGAAACAATAAATTGAGAATAACTGTCCTGCTTCACTATCTTAATGCTCTGGTATGACAACTTCGAAAAAAAGCATGCTAGAAACATATAGGGGATGTAATTAAGTTTGACAAGACTATTTAAACAAGTTGGGGGTAAATGATCATGGACATCCTAGCCGACAATATAAACAGACGAAATCTAGTAGGTTGCATGTGTTCTGAAGGATTTACCAAAGCAGTCTTCTCCGGTTGGAAAACTGAAGTGGCAGAAAATAACAGTTGCCGCAATCTAGGAGACCACTGGCTAGGAAACATGAAAGCTTAGAGAAAATAGAGAGAAAGTCTCGTTAGTGACAGTGTCACTTTAACCTTTAGAAGCAGAATGCGTGTAGGAAATTCATATTTTGTAGCTTGGTCGCAAGCATATAAAGGAGCGTATTGGAAGTGCATGGGAAGCGGTTTCGTGAATACCGAGGTAGGTCTACATGCATAATAATAACAGGCTGCAACACTGTATTGATATCGAGATGTGTGCATGTCAGCACTAAATCAGGGGTCGGTTCGTAGGATTCGCATTGCCCTACAGAGGGCTCAATTTAGACGAAGAGCTCTCCGTAAACCATGTGTACGAGAGTAGATAGCTGGCAGAGAGTCTCAGACGTTTGGCTTGTAATCCACAGCGCCTGTGTAGGTGAGGATGACTTCAAGGAATCCAAGCACCAAAACGAGGTCCCAGCGCAAGGCTGATATCCTGACGTATGCATAATCGCAGGACATGGCGATGACGACAGACTGGATATAAGTGCAGTGATTCACATAGAGAGGTTAGAAATGTGCATCAAGTCACAGCAATATTAGGATGGATGGATGTGTCAGCTGTATGCCGTAACGGCGCTTCGTTGCCGCGCGACCACCACCAGTTGCGCGCGGGCTAAGTATACCGCGAGGACGCCCACCAATACGCGGATTCGAACCTGTGACCTTATGATTGCAAACCAAGTGTGCAGACCACTCGGCCACCGACCGACCACAGCAATATTATATATATATATATATATATATATATATATATATATATATATATATATATATATATATATATATATAATGAGGTGGTTGAACGCGTACCCCGTACATCTCGGAAAGCCTGAGCGTGATCAATATAGTTTATATGTGTCTAATTTCCGTGCCGCGGCTTAGGAAAAAGAAGTGCAGTACACGTACCTTGTTAACGGTCCATTCCTTGAGAAGATTGGCAACACTACCTCCGAGGACCTGTACTTGAGCTTTCCGGAGAAGGAGGAAGCCAAGGCTGATTGGAATGAGACCCGAAAGACGAAGTTTCGTTCCCGGAGTGGTGATGGTACTAATGAAAATACAAGTACATAAACAAAATATGGTTAACCGTGGACAACACTTGGTGGGCAGCGAATGAATGAAGATGTAATGATTGGAGCAATCCTCTAGATGTCGAACAGAATGACTGACAAGGTGAGCGCAGGGCTGTAAAAGAATTGCCAAAGTGAAACGGGAGCGATGAAAGAAATGAACCTAATTCAATTCTGGAGACATACCGCAGATTGACCGTCGGTAATAGTATACATAACACTATCGTCATCACCACTACCATGAATACACAACAGGTGAGGGTGAGAAACACACCTCAACGATTGGGTAACAATAAAAAGGACAAGATTTTAAATACACTAAAAAGCTTAAAAAAGTAATAAAATGTTATTTATCATATTATGCGGGGGTATGAGATCGTTGCTGAAGGGGAGGAGAGAAAGAGGAAGCGAGGGTTAAAGGAACGCACAACACAAATACCACTGAGGTTGGCTCTTTGCCATGTCAACAAGCGAATCCAACCAGAAGTGTTCATCGTCCTTCGGACCCAAAGCCAGCAGTCGGGAGACACCAACCGACGCCAAGTTCGAAGTGAGTGACTGCATTCCTCTAGAAGAGGTCATCGCTTGGCCTCTCCCTTTTTGCTCCATCCAAACTCCGAGCGCGCAAACAACGCAGGATGGGGGAATCTATGTGCTGGCATGCGCAACACCTGGCTCAGCCATCTGAGTCTGGCGTGAGATATAATGGTGCAGAGTGGTTCACTCGCTCTTCCCGCACCGAACACGCTCATTGCTCACGCGATGTTCTACCAGACGTGAACTAAGCTGAGAAGGCAGCGGTGGTCGAACGTAACTAGCCTCTTCATGTCTGTCGATTTGATGGGTCAGATTTCGCAACGGACAGCGGCATTGTAAATTCTGCCCCTCAGAGCAAGAGTGATGTTGCGCCGGCGCCATAGGTGGCGGAGACTGGCATACACAACACTATGTCAAAATCAGCGTGGTGATCCCGTTACCAGGTTTTTAATTCCATCGAAGCGCAAACCTGGTAGCGTTGGTTTAGACGAAAGTTACGCGTAACCTGAACACGATCCCCATAAGGCACCTATTGGGGTAAGGCGCTGAGTCCACGAAAACGGACAACGATACGCACATGACCGGGGGACTAGACGCACGAGGCCCAGACGCACACGCAACACCAGGCTACAGCGGCGCATACGATAACGAGACCACGCGATTCCCAACCACACACAAGAGAAGATAAGACAAGACGAAGCGGACCTCTGAGAGTTCTTTTCCGACCCACAAAGGCCGAATCACAGTTGCAACAATGGTTCATTTTGTGGGTGAAATAAATCCTTAAGTAAAGCGCGTAGTTTGCGAAAGACAATTGTTCACTTTAGCCCAGTTGCGTTCCGACTCGGCCTGGCTGGAGCCTGCTACGTTGTGGGTAGGAATTGGACTCTGCTTGGCTCAGCCCACGCACTGGAGTCTGTGGCGCATTTTTGCGGGGTTACTAAACGTTCCCGCAACAAACACCATAGTAAATTGTAGACGAGAAACTTCAATCGTGGACACGTCAACATCTCCTTGGTTCAACAATTGTGAAAAGATGAGCGTTGATAATGATTTCCAACCGGAATCCCACATTCTATATTTTGCGCAGACAGCTCAAAGCACTCAGAAAACCAGATATTCTGAGAGAATTCGGTTGCCATCTGAACAAGATGGTTTATTTGCAAACGTTTCATTACCAGACTGGGCAACTTTCAAGATATAAATAAGAGCAAATTAGAATCACTGGTGAGGCATTTCTCAGATCGGAGAAGAACCCTCACCTACACCCTGAGCTACAAGTGTTCCCAAACACGATTGGGTGAAACGATCTGAAAAGGCACAATGTTGAAACTCGGTAATACTATTGCAGACTAGATGCGTGTGGGAATCAGACTGTAGGAAAAATAGCTCCGACGGCGCATGAGAGAAATAAAAGGAATAAAGACAAAGTCGTATACCTTAACTTATCATGGTTTTCGATATCCAACGCAGATACGGTAGTCGTTCCATCTGTCAGAGCTAATCGCAACAATCGGGGTCCACCTGCGGCGGTGGCGGACGAACTGTCCTCCTCGATTTGTGGTAAAGCTATATTGCGAACCCGGATAATCTGTACAATACGACCACCGGCATCCAGCTGAAGAAAATGGAGAAACGAACAGATTGTTTACAGGAATAGAAAAATAGTGATGAAAAGATAGTCGCATGCGGACCAACCTGGTCTTGCTGGCGATGATTCGCGATCCAATTGCCACCGAGTTCACGCAGATCAGTCTGAAAAAGTGAGATGATGTGGCAGGAAATCTTTGCATGCCGCTGAATCAGGTCTAAATATTGCCGGCTAGCCAGGGCCGTCAAAGAGAATCTGGTGGGATAAGAATTCCGATGTTATGCACAAAAGTGAGTAGTTGGTCTAAGAATCACGGTAAGGCGATTTGAGCGTCAGAGGCTAATCAGTTGGGTTACAAAGTGCACAATTGGAAAGAAAGCATACATGAAGTGTCTGGCAGAATGAGTTGTATGGGTCTCAGGTAGAGAAGGAGTGATCAAATAAAGGATAAAAATGAAATTAAGGAAAAAGTCGGCGAAGGCAAATCAGGGAAGGGGAAAACGAACATGGGATGACATGGTCAGCAGCACCGCCGTCCAAATTGACCCGCTTGATGAAGTAGGTAGAAAGCAGAAATTCATCAGTAAGATAGATTCTCACGTGAAACTGCCATGTTACCCCGATCCATATAGGAAAACAACCAGAACATTCGCTTCATAGAAAAACAGATATTTACCGACAAGAAGCAAAGCAACATTTCGCTGCAGACCTGGTGTCAGTCGGAAGGTGACAAGTTAACAATAAAGTTTTACCAGACAAGATAATCTGGATGGTAAAATAAATGGCGTGCAAACTCCAACCGGATTGAACGTAAAACCAAACAGTCAAATTGTATAGAAGAATCAAAGAGGTACGGTTATTATTCGCTGAGTTAGTAGCATACGCAAATTCGCGCTAAACTACAATTCGTAAACTGTGGGATTCGATCCCAGCGTGGCCCGCAAGAAACGAGGAAATGCAATTCACTTTATGAAATGGAAAATCAATTTATCATGTTTTTCACAAGGATTAAACATTCAAACCAGAAGAGAGCAGATTCGAGGCAGTGAAACGAAAATATGATAAAACTTACATCCAACAAATGTGACGCAATATTGTCGGTAGACTCAGCTTCCATTTTCTTGAGACATTCCTCAAAGCCCTTCTGGGAGATTACCCTACAAACGGAGCGATAAATCGTGATGAAAACTAGGAGACTCAGTAGTATCGTTTAAAATAGAGAAAAACAAAAAGAAGGAACAATTGTCAAGAACAGACGAACTGTGGAGATCGGTGTAATATGCGCATTTTAAGCTGTTCTCCGAGCTGAGTGATTATTTTGTAGACGTTTCGTTGTCAGACAAGGCAACATCATCCGTGCGACTTCAGGGGTCTGGATGGCAGTGGCTCGTAAGCGGCTTGGACATTGAAGTCGCTTACGAGGCACTGCGAACCAGGCCCCTGAAGCCGCACTGATGATGTCGCCTTGTCTGGTGGAGATCGGTGTAATATTTATATTCAGGACACGAAACTGTGGCACTAACAAAAATAGCTGAGCTGAGGAAGAGGCACGCATGTCAAAGTGGAGGTGGCCAATCGGCAAGCCAAGTTCATTATTATGATCTCGAACCTAATTAATAGGAAGAAAATGCTAGGGATTCAACGGACAGCACGAATCTTTCCTAATGGGTGAGCGGTTGATCACGGAGTCTAGTAGCACAAGGTTCATTGAGTAAAGAGCGGTTGGACCTCAGCTGCAGTCCAAAGAAGGTGTGCCCAGGGATGGGATGGAATCAGGTAATGGAAGGACAAAGTGCGCCGTACACCAACAAGTACGAGATTGGATAGCGTAAACGGTCAAAATACAGTCAGAATAGCGTGGGAAAACTTGGAATCAAACTTGAACGATCCAAGTAGTCGTAAAAAATGAGAGCGGTGACTTGAAAATAGAGCAGCCGAGCAATTGCAACAGATTTCTATCTTATCTACCGCGCTATTCCTTTTAGCTCGATTTTTACGCATCTCAATGAATGAGTATGTGTGTCGGTGGAGACTGGTGTAACAACTGACCTGTAAGTAATGAACCCGATTCTTAATGTGCTGTACTCGGATAGAATGTTTAAAATGTGCACAAGAAAACCAGGTCGTGGTAACGATAAGTGTTACTCTTGATTTCTGTTCGCTCTTGTATTCCCAGGATCTCAATTTTTAATGAATTCAATGAATGAAGATTCACGGTTGAGACAAGACTGAAACAAAATACTTGCTTCCAAACGTTAGCGTCGTTCCTGGTATGCTCAAATATCTAATGTGCAGCAGCACACGCTAACTAAATCTAGGTTTTACTATTGTCGGAAGTATTCGCGTTTCCAATATTTTCATTCCACTCACATTGTCGATGAATTTAGATTGCTTCCCATGTTGCCGCACCTCTGATAACAAGCGTCAATGCCATATGTAAGGTATGGAAGCCAGGGCTGGTTTGTGAAAGAATCTCGTAGCTCTTAGTGTGATATCACTGCACCACAAACATCAAATAAGCTCGAAAATTATACCCATGGAACTGATAAAACATAAGGTAGCGAAGAGCACACTTTTCGATAAATCTCATCAGGCGTTTAAAACCATAAAGTGGAAAGTTGAAGCGGGATAGGCTGGTGAAGCGCGATAAAGGTTGGAGAATCAGACCGAGGCAGAAAGTGAGCTGTCCTAATCGATCAATTGGTCGATCCACTCAAGTAGCGGCTACCACAGTATACGTAGGCAGACATAGATACACACACACGTATGCTCACGCAGAGGAAGTACACAAACCACAGGTTCCTCTGCGTCCGATAATTGACATGTCGACCTCCGCTTTCACTCCGTTGCGAGATGGATTGTAGATCTGCTGGAATCAGTACGCCGCGAGTTATGCACTCACACTGTGAGACATTCGAATTTGTGAAACAAGTCGAATGTATGAGAGTAAATGGTAAATTGATACTCTCTTTCGACGTTGAATCACTTTTTACGAACGTTCCGCTGGTAGACACGGTTAATTTTATCTGTGATTACTTAAACCAAAGGAACATAAATGTGGGTATTCCAGTGCAGAAACTGAAGGAATTAATCTTACGATGTACTTTCAACAGAGTTTTTATTTAATGGTATCTACTACAGATAGATCGACGGAGTCGCCATGGGGTCTCCTCTCGGACCGCTTCTTGCCGAAATTCGCCTTGCTATGCTCGAACATGGACCTATAAAATCCATAATCTCTTCATTCGATTTCTATTGTCGATACATGTATGACACGCTTATAGTCTGTGATTCAAACACTGATGTTTCCAGCCTGTTGAATCGATTAAACAGTGTACATTCATCTTTGAAGTTCACCAGTGAAATCGAGAATGATGGCAAACTGGCATTCTTGGACGTTTTACTAAGGAGAAAAGCAGACGATTCACTAGAAAGAAGTGTGTTTTGGAAAACGACGTGGGTCAGTCAATACACGCAATTTCGCAGTGTTGTACCCTTGAAGTACCAACGGAACCTTGTTCGTGGCCTGTACTTTCGCGCTGCCAAAATATGTAGCCCTGAGACTTTGGAAGCCGAAAAGAACCGTATTTTCCAAACGCTGCAAGTAAACAGTTATCCAGCACACTTCATCCGAAAGCACGCAGTGATCCATGATCGACATGAATTGATTACAACTGCCCCCAAGAAATATGTGTTTCTCTTAGTTTCCTTTAAGGGAGATATTGCTTTCGATTTGCTGAACAAAAGAGTTTCCGCTGCAGTAGCTCGAACGTTTCCAGCTGCATATCCACACATCATTGCTGAAACTGTGCCGTTTGGTGCGCGTCTCAAAGACAGAACTCCCGGTCCAGTCCGAATCTTATATTCTATATCAATTTACTTGCACATGTGGTGTGAAGTACCTCGGACATACGACTAGGCGTCTGTCCAAACGGATATCGGAGCACTGTCCCACGGCATTGCAGAAAGGTACTGTCGGTTGCATCAAGAGTTCTGTCCTAGAACATTTGATCGAAAGTGGACATCAAATCAAGGCTACTGATGCTTCTAAAGTGTTTTATGTTGTTCCAAAACGCTACCCCAAGGGGCTTAGGAAACGAATGTTACGGACGGCCGAAGCCATTGCGATCAGGATTACACAACCTGAACTATACAAACAGAGAGCGCTTATTCAAGCGCTCCTACTGCCCTGGGGCTAACATACTTCCAAACGGTTTCCACTTCATACGCTGACAACCACCGGGCGATGAGTGCGTCACCCAATCAATTGAAAAGCACGTCCTATGTCTTGTGAGCATACGTGTGTGTGTATCTATGTCTGCCTATCTATACTGTGATAGCCGCTGCTTGAGTGAATCGACCGATTGATCGATTAGGACAGCTCACTTTCTGCGTCGCTCTGATTGGCTAACCTTTATCGAGCTTCACCAGCCTATCCCACTTCAACTTTCCATTTTATGATTGTAGACGCCTGACGAGATTTATCGAAAAGTGTGCTCTTCGCTGCCCTGCGTTTTATCAATCCAAATAAACGACTACCACAATCACCATCTTTATGCTGTCTTCAAATGGGCATCGTTTGAACACCAGAGGACAACCCCCTGAATTCAAACATCGGACACGTTGGAGAAATACTGTGCTTACTTCAATTGTTCGCGAAAATCTATTTTTACAATCCTAGGTGACACCTAAACCAATATGAATCTTATTATTACTTGAGCTCGAATGGGGTCTTCATATTACTCGGAGGTTTGTGTTTAAACACCGTTTTTAACCGGAAAATTTTCAATTTTCTCGAGATATTTTTGAGCTTCTTTTGGTAAATCACTTCGTTTTGTGAAACTTCGAGATGCTGCGCTTTATGCTGTTCGGCCATAAAAGTACAAACGCATTCAAACAAAATATGTGGAAATGTCTTGGTAGAGTGAGAAAACACCGCGTTGGATGGCATGTCGGCCATAGGACGGTATCTTGTCAGTTAGTTCTCTCAGATAATTTGCGGTCATTGCTAAGCGAATCTGGGCCATTTGCCAGAGTGATAGCTGCGTACCTTATACATTCATTATTTTTTTCATTTCGATAATGTTACACTTTTGATGATGTCATTTTAGGCTATCCACAGTCGTTAGTGTGAAACGCTGAAAGCATACCCATCCGCGTAGACTACGATTATCTTAGCTCGTAACAGAAAGCATTTGTGATGCACAGGGCCAGTTTTCAGCGAATTCATAGCGACAAAATAATGCAAGTGATGTCAACGGATTTCTAACTAGTAAGAACCTAAGTGCGATCACAACAACTGGTAGCCATCCAAATCGTCAATCGACCATATTCTAATGCATGAAGAAGGTCAGATAGTTTGATCTTGGAGTACATCCAGTGTGCCTGGGTTCCCGGCCGACTTGAAGCCAACTTCAACTATTTCGATGGCTGGGACCGTAAGCCAGTTCCGAAAAGTATCGACCCAACTGACCTCAGTAAGGTATTAAACTCTTATCGCAAGACATTCAGTCGCAGACTGAAAATACTCCAATTAATTGATTGGTTTCGATATTGCCCTCCCAACACTGTACTACATGACCGGTTCCGCGCTTGTTTGGGCTCCTCGGATAGTGGCAGCCTGAACAAAGGCCTAGTAATGTGAAGTGTGTAACATCAGCACAGTCTTCACAACGTAGATGCAACGAAAAACACCATGGATAGATAGACTCACCAGCCCTGGGCGGCCAGCTGCTCCAAAGTAGGCTAAAACAAGGAAATTAGTCGATATGGTTTACCAACATGTACGACCAAGATATAGTAACAGGGAAAACTGTCCGCAGAAAAAAAACAGACCAGTGTATTTATACATATATGCTTGCTGATAGTTCACAAAATTGGAATGGGATGTGCAGCAAAAGCGTGTCCGCAAGACGCGAGAACACGAGTGTGAGTAAAACGATGCGAAAACACCGGTTGACCAAGTTGAAAGTGAATCCATTGATGTTCATCACGGTTCTTTCAGTATGGTGGAAGAAGTGTCCGGAAGGCGTACATCAGATCCCTCCGTCAGATAGCCGAGTGGATCGCCGAACGATGCCACTAAATGCTCAATGGATTCGTTTAGGCGATCGAAAAACTGTCGAAGCTGAACTTTTGAGAAAAGCTGGAAATGAGGGGAGATGAATATTGATCATACCGTAGTTGTAAACGTGAGGAATAAAGAAAAAATGAGTGGTATGTAACGATGCTTAGCATTGGTAGCTAACTACTAAAAACAGACCGGTAAAAATGATTTAATGAGAAAATTATAGAAGAATCGCGAAATCCGTAAAACTTGAGGGAATCAAACTAGCACTTTGCTAAATTCACAGCCGATTTCTGATGATCGTGTAGCTATGAGCAAAAATGAGACAGTAAGAAATGCAGTTGCCCATAACCTCCGTAGTCTAGCAGGCCGTTGCTCGTTGTCGGGGAATCCAATGGGAAGGATGGATGCGTGACATAAATGTGGAGGAGAAGGTAGATTGATAAGGAGTGGTGAAAAATGCCAATTTACACTCGGGAAGTGTGGAACGACAGAAGGAGTGAGTAGGTGGCGTGGAACAGAGACGCGCACAACGGGAGAATCGGGAAGCGGGATACCTGTGGCTATATACACGAAATAGAATTTCAGCTATTACACCGAGAAGATGACGCACAAATTGCAAACGTCGTCCACAAGAATCTGGGGATGCTCGCTTAGTAGCATATATGCGAATGCCACGTTTCAAGCCCAACATCACTGACAATACAGGGACTCAAACCATGAATACGTGTAACACGCCACATTACCACCGAGAACGTTAAGCGACTGATTCATTTATCCTTAAGATAACGTTCCCAATAATAGGCGAAAAAGCTGTAGGAGCAAAACCGTATCTACAGAACAACAGCAGTGCTATTCCGTGACCACAGAAAGTGTTAGAGTCCGCGAAACAAATAAACGCCCGCAAGGTCGATAAAGAAGTGTGGCTGGATTATAAAGTATCAGAAACCAAAGAAGAACGCGCAACACTTTAGAAGGTCAGGTAATCCCGGTCAGCATATGGGATTGTCTAAGCAAATGAAACGAAATAAACCAGAGGGAGAATCATTGGTTAGAGCGCAATATATCGACCTCCCGCCTCTATTATAAGTGGAGAAAAAACAGTCTAAGTGAAGAAAAACGGAATTTAAAACCTTCACAAATGAGTATTGATAATAACGGCGATGTACTTTTGAACAATAACGGCAATAAAATAAGGTCAGGAAGACTACATGAAAAGCAGTGATCAAATAAATTCGTGGTTACTACGAATGATCGAGTTAAACGGCAACGCAAGACGCCAGGGTTAAGAAAACGCCGATACAGATAACTTGAGCCCACGTTTACAAATTTAATAAACGTGACCCACTTGACTGAACATCAACCTAGGAAACGAGTCTTCACATAAGTATGTTCGGGTTTAGGAAGGCAAACTGAGTTAAGAGCGACAGTGTACTACGGTAACTACACAGATCAGCGTTGAGCTGACGGAGGGCCTCTACAATCCCGAAGATAAGTCCAAGAAAATGCGTCCATAAAGAGCATCTTGTTTGAATATATCAAGGACGAAATGATGATGAGTAGATTAAACAGGAACATATGTGGTGGGAAAAGAAGCTAACAGCTAGATATGAAAAAGACAAAGGAAGATCACAAAACACCTTTCAGATTATCGGCGCGATAAAAAAGGTTAACAACTAAAAGCAATCGTGGAATACACGGCTGCCTACGTGGATTTGTTTGACGATGCAATGTGACTGTTATTGCTCAAGAAAATAAGCAAATAAGCAAAGATACGCAAGCATGTCACATCTGAGTGAGTCCCAACAAGAAAGCTCGGCGAAGGATAGAGATTTGAGACGCAAATTTAAGTGTAAGAAGCATTTACACACGATGTAAACGGCGGCAAGAAAATTTACGCATCTGATCTCATCATACTCGGTTGTTAGCTGCAGGAAAGCTCAAATGGTCGCCGGGTGAGACGTAATGAACACTGGTTGAGAGGACGTTAGGCGTACAGTGAATGAAGCCTAGTTGATAATTTGATGCCAAATACAGGAGAAACAAAGAGTCCAATGATTCAGTGATGCATTGAAGGCAATGACGACTAAAAACAGACGGTAAGATGATGCCTTTACTGAAGCGGTAATCTCCAAGTTAGAGGATAGCACAAAAGAACACTGTGGTGTTAGTCAGTCTGCGTGCTAAAGGTACACACTGCCTTGTCGTCCCCGTCGATGAATACAGTCCCGAAGGACGACACGAGCAGTGGCGAAGAACATCGCTGGCAGGATGTACCTGCTTCTGCAGTAGAAGTGCGAAATAAGGGTAGTGTGAAAACACCGTACAAAATGAGTGTAAATAGTGTCCCCACCAGATGATAGATCTGTGGGTGATGCATTTAGCAAAACAGCTGACAGTGAGCAGTAGGGGGATTTATTGAGTTTCGGTGAAGATTCGTTGCAGCTAGACTCAGGCAGACAGCCAGCAGAGTTCCAAGAAAGCGCAAGACGGCCGTTTTGTCCTATTGGGACTAGACAGGAACGTGCACTCGCCAAATCCTATAGTATTCGAACTTACGACCATACTCTTTCGAGGCAGCGACTTTTGCTAGTGAGCCATGGGTGACAGCAGCGGACTACTATGACTGACAGTATCCCTAAAGTCAGATGGTGAAATGAGTGGGAAAATACAGGACAACAACGGGAGTAATAATGAAGGCTTACTTTGAAAATACCGTGTTCCTTAGATGCCACAAGGTCTGCCAGTCGGACACAATGCTCATGCATTTCAGCATTCTGATAAAGTTTGACAAGTAGGAAAACGGCGTCCGTGAGACAATTCTCCCGAAGCACCTGCATTTGCATGTGTCTCGAACTTGCACTATCACCAAGTTCCGACAACGCAGGTGGTGAAGCCCACTGGGATTCAGGTTGGATTACATCTCCACCATCCCCATCGATACGACGGTGTTCACGATAATCTTCAATCAGATCGTCAATGATTTCTTCAGAATCCAGGGGGTGAACATTCTTCCTCCCGGTGTCTTCGATATCAACTAGCCATCCAGGTGCGGGGTAGGTCAGCAAGGCCAACAATTTTTCTGCTGCCGTCTGTGTAACGAAAACCGTGGAATGTAAAGAAGAATAGGACGTCGGACAGATCAAGAGAAATAAATGCAAGCAGTACGGAAAAAAGAACGAGGGAAATTTATAACCGGAATGAGTTGCTCGATCAAAGAGGAGTGCCAGGCGATGAACCAGCCACCGAAGGAGTCTGGGTCATGATAAGGCACATGGGACAAGACACTGGTGTGCAATAGGAGTGCCACGGTAGTTACGAAACTACAGTTGGCCGGTCGTTTTGGGGACTAACAAGCCCACAATAGCCACCACACCGTGTCAGTAGAGGACTTTGGGGGACCTACACTGTGCCACACATAAACCCATTTCAGAGTGGAAGTGATAGCAGTACAACCAGAATAGATTCATATGGGAACCATGTTTGTTCATGGACATGTCCAGGTTCGATTGATACGTACATCACTATTGAGGCCAAATAAGAGCGGCTGGAGGAGCCCAAAAATTGCGGAAAAAACCCGCGTCCGTAAACCGGTGAAGAGCGAAGAGCTACCCTCCTAGCGTTGAAGCACGAAAAAAGAATCAAATGCAAGATCGACGGACGGGTGAGTCTACGTAAGAATGCGTTAAAATACAGCAAAACGATACAGAGTATAAGTGGATGTATCAGCACAGAGTACAGCATGAAACACTCAGCACAAATTAGTAAACTAAGTGATCAAAGTGCCAAAGTGAGATGAACCACTTGCTGCGGATCTCGTAGCTATTATTTTTTTAAACAACGGTATGAAAAAGAAAGTATTGGATGTACAAGCGAAAATGCAATAGTTTCCAACGAAAAGTAAGAGAAAACGTGAAAACAGCGACCGATGGTGTTGGCAGGTTTGAAGTCCCCAAATCACACCAACGTATGAACAAGTCAGACGAAGCCCAACAGTGCAGTGTCAGAAGGTGCGAGAGACTCCGAAATCTCTTCACTTCGGGCAGAATCCAATTGATCGAACTGATCGAGTTAGACCTCCGACCAAAACGAGATTGTGTGGCAAATCCAAAAATGCACGACTGATTTTCTATAATGACCGAACAGAATATGTTGGTTCAAAATGTCAGACATGAAGGCAGCTTACCAGTATACTATGTGATAGTGGTCAGAGCAGTTAGGCCGATAAATCAGCAATCGGCAATGACAGAAGATTGTAAAGGTTAGGCGCGCCGCTTCGATCATACAGTAGCAACCCGAGGATAAGTAGGCAACATTAACAATTCAAAATGGTTTCGGTAATTCAGCAGATATGTCACAATGGGATTTGTGAAGACAGAATCGGTTGAATCAAGGAACCGATCTGCTTTGGTAGTCACAAGACACTTGCTAACCACCGGCCCTCGAGTCAATCCTGATGAATCGTCCATAGTCATAATGCGTGATCAAGGGTCACACATTTTTAGGTTACTGGAGGCTGTCGTTGTCTATCATGAACGCTCACCGCTACGCATTCAAAGAGTTGACTGTGGTTCTAAGAATACCCTGGAACAGCGAGCGCTTGGCCACCTACGATCTCATTGGACAATGTTTCAGTTTATCTATTGATGTTACATATTCGCGACCGATATGAATGTATGAAAATTTCCTGTTTAGATATTCAACAGGTTCTGTCGATGGCACAACTGTTGATTTTCTCAGCGGTCAATCTGTATGAATCAGGATTATGACGAAATATGCCAGACGACGATTGTCATCAAAGTTTGAGACCAGCATGCATCAAACTGTTTGGAAGGTGGGTGATAAAGTGAATTATTGGACACGCACGGAAAGGGAAAATCCGTTATAAAACATACGGAAAATGGGTCTTTCAGGCTTGCTATCTCCAGCTGATGAAATAATATTAGGTCGAAAAGTGGAGTGCGGTGTTTTCGGGCGAGCAACACCCAACTTCAAATGCTTTAGCCACGGTCCAAGTGATCGGAATGACCAAGGTCCGCGTCAATGGGAATCATGGTCAACATTGAGACTGCGCGTCGCAGTCAAATCACACGAGTACTTTAAATGATCCCCCAATCAGTTACGAAGCTTCTTCTATAAATCAAGAGTAAGCTAGGTTAAGACGCAAAGGAGTTAATAGTTGCTGGTAAAAGTGCAAATAACCAGAAATCAAGGCAGGAATACAGGTTGATTTTCCAGGGGTTTACAATACAGTGCAATAAGTTTGCATAGTGGCCAACACACGCGGCAGATAAGAAAACTGGAAGTTATATGGTGGATGTCGCATAAGGCAGATAACGAGCAGGAAGAGAGATTTAGGGCACAACTAGGTCATCCAGAGATTCACACAAGAACAGCCTAACGAAGGGAATGAAAGGAATCTCGCCATGCAAAAAGCTCGGATGAGGAATGGCAGTCGAGTTTGGAGCCGAACAACGAGGTGTTCGCATGCTCTTCGTAACAGTTGCCTAGAAGCCAATGGAGACTGGCCTACCTAAGATTTTGTCACTGGCCTTTGAAAAATGCTCGCAACCTTGGGGTGCACTAAGACAATTGAGTAAGTAAACGAAATCGAGCACTGACGTTACGACTTGGCGTTGGACGGGTGAGATGCAGTTATATGAGTTGCCAAAAATAAAACAAATAAGTCGCCAGCTGTACGCCGTAACGGCGCTTCGATGCCACGCGACTATCAAAAGTTGCGCGCGGGCTGAGTATACCGCGAGGACGTTCACCCTTACGCGGATTCGAACCGGGGACCTTATGGATGCAAACCAAGCGCGCAGACCACTCGGCCACCAGCCGAGTAGCCAAAGAGCAAGGTGTAGCCAATGAATAACAAAACAGATTAGGTGTCAAAAATTTCGTAACACCGCGGATAGTAGTGACATTGGCTACAAGCCTCCGAAGGGGAAGGCAGCAGTCCCCGATTTTTTGTCAGGCTGTCAGCATAAAATCCCACTCGACCAGGATCGATTACTTACAGGAGAGCGAAAAGGTGCACATAGATGAGAGAGTTGCACAAAAGATCTAAGTCTTCAAGCTGAGCTGTATGAGGAAGCGTGGGAATTTAGCACCACGTGGCGCGTTTGCATAAAGCGTTATGAGGCCCATGGCTCTAGCAATGTGGGTAAAAGGCAGTCGTTTATTGTTGCAAATAAAGATATAAGTAATAGATAAAATAAACGACCAATGAGACGCGATGCAAGCGCACATGTTCGATGGAAAGTTTGAAACAAAATTGAATAAACTATGTTTATTGGTGATGAATAGGAGAAGCGTGTGCATGCAACTCAACGAGTGAGCCACACAAAATAGTACACAATATCGAGGAGATCAAGCAGTGAATTTGTGTTGGAAGAACCAGATGAAAATGCTAAAACGGTGAGCGTACTTCCGTGTCCAATCGCAGCACATGACGCCAACGTTCCAAGCGCGCTTCGTACATTCGTTTGGACTCATCCGCCTGTAATCGTTCGGTGAACCCTCTGGAACCGTACATTGATGTCGCGCTGCTGGTCAAATCTGCTGGTGGTTGTGGGCGATTGGAATTGGCCTGTCTGAACCAGTCCGCAAATGCATCCTGACAGAAAGGATAATTGGGCAAATTGTTTAGGTAGAACAGAAGATCGCAACAGAAAACGGCATCGTTACGCAAGCGCCTCATAGACCAATTAACCATACTTACTTGGCTTTCCAAATACAGTACTAGGCACTCGTGTTCACGAATAGTGTTCACAAGCCAGTTTGGAGATGCGGAATTCTCGCAAATGATCTTCGCGCGTCCCAAAGTCCCTGGTGGAAGCTTGGAAATAATCTGTAGACAGGGTGGAATCGATTCGTTAAGAGGATGGGCAACGATAGAGAAAATCATTTGGATACTAAGCGCTTTTAAGTTCAAGCGATGGATGATTTGGATTGAAAAAATACAGCATTAATAACATGTCAGCAAACACAGATCGCTGGAGATACCTTCCACTTGCCGTTGACAGTGCAAAAACAGAATAGAAAATGTATGGTTGTGATTATGCACTTAGATTTGTAAAAATACTCGGTGATAGCGATGGAAAAAGTAAGTCGACGAGCAAAACGGAGAATCACAGACAACGAGCTGAACGTCAGCAGTTCGATAACATTGGCACACAACGCGGTGTGGTGGTTTTTGTGTCCTCATGACCATATGAAAAACGCTTGTTGGCACTTTCCACGCGTCTCCATGTTGCATCATATTAAGCAAACCGAAAGTTAATAGCCATTAAGTCTCAGCACGCATCTTATCAAAGATTTGAGAAGAGCCGCTTATATTTTTCTTCCAAAAACACCATGAAGGACACCGACTGGAATTTGCGAATCCAACGCGAGTGGCTTGGATTCAAAGCATTGCGAGTTGTTACTGAGGACAGGAAATTGTCAGTACCGCACACAATATTGCTACCAAGCTACTTAAACTCGAGGGCCTTTGTTTAATACGGTGCATATCCCAAAACATCGCTCTGATGCATCATTTCAAACAACAGAAAGACGTTCTGAGATGAGTGTGCCGATCCCAAGACAGATCTTAAAGGTATGCGGCAGTTGCATTTCGTAGTTGGACAAGCTCCTTACTGCTTGGTGTGCTTGACTATGGAGTTGAAAGAGGTAAGGGAGTAGAAGATAAAGCTTTCGCTGGGACAATCGTCTGCTCACAAAACTCCATTCGAGAAGCCCTCCGTTCTCTTCTGCTCAGAGTATATAAAAGACGAGGTGAGTGTAGTATCCCCATGAGATACAAACATGATAGAATCGTAGTGAATCGCTGGCTCCCGAATTGGGATCAGGACCACACAGGATCGATAACAAGAATTAGAATGACGATAGTGATCAACCCGAATGGATCCCACTTAAGTGCTGGCGTGTCAAGTTCAAGCTAGGAGATCCATAGGCGGCAAAGAAAGGTAACTTGTGTAACTAATCCCCAAGTGTACGCACCGATCAAGTGCATATCGGACACAAGCCAGGACGAGATACATCGGAAAACTTCCCTCTTTACTCGAATAGTTGACGTATAGGTGGCACGACCGGAATCCCGTTACAATGCCACGCAACTATAACAGATTGCATGAAAGGTAAAGTATACAGAGGTTGCGATCGCCGCGGGAAACATCAAAGTACAGGCTCTCGCTAGTTGGCTCTCAACAACGACCTGGGGGCAGTTTCGGGGTTGATATCTGCTGTAACCATAATGATGATGGGCACCTTCAGCTGTGCTATATGCAAACGTCCGCATCGTGCCACATGCTGTGCACGGAAGTATACGGTTCACTGGGCCGAAAGTGACCGTATCAGTCAGAGTTGTAGCTAGTGCGCAGTAGCACGAAATCGGTGGCCTATCTGGAACAAAAAATGGGATACGATCGCATCCTGACTAGTGCCCGCCTTCCATGCTTCAAAGCCTGCAATTACGCTACATCAAGATGTAATGGTCCGTCATTTGATGGTGACGAAGGGACAAGTCTTTCAAGCTTCAAACAGCTTGACCGAATAACCTGAGATGTCCAAACTGTGGATGGATCACTGAAGCCTAATTAAAAAACCGCGACACGCCTGAGATGATACCATTTGCAGTTATCATTCTGCACCATAAAATGGACGCCTATGGGCAACAGCATAGAAGTAAGGCCACACTGTCCGGTTTCCGTGCTGACGTTCAACGTTCGCACTGTAAGACAAATAGGTCAACAGACTGCATTCGCACGCACGCTGGACAACCTGGGTATTGACAAATGTTGCGTGTCCAACCCCCATAAGGCTGTTGAACTATTTGCGCCCAGTTTTCCTTCTTGTTATTGTTTAGACGCATCCGCAGACACCGATGCGACAACCACTAGCCAAGTTGTGGTGAGCATCGTCATCAGTTCGGAGACTGAGTCATCGTTAGGTGTGAATAATCGTTTATGTGCGGCGCGTTTAACGACATCGACTAAGGTTGATACATAAAGTAGGGCTAGAGGTTGTTTGTTTGTGGTTTCCGCTTATGATCCCACTGACTGCAGTTCTGCTAGGACCCGAACACGCTGCTTTGCAGGTACCAATTCAAACATCGTTTTTGCTGCGGAAAATGTTGGGGTTTCAGGATCCCCAAAATAAAGCCTATGAAAGTATGTGACGTTCGTCATGTGGATTTTATCCACGAAATACGGAAAACATGATGTGAATGGAAATGTTGTGGAATCGAAGAGTAGGAGTGATAATAATAGCAGTTTGGACTGATAATTCGTTGCCACACAAACACAAAGATATACAGAACGAGGAATAATGACATGAGGGAGAGGGAGATCCAGAGTAAAACCGAAATGAACGGGGCAAACATCCGTGGTGAGGCACCAATACCTTGTCAACAAAACGACCACAAACAGACCACTAACGTTCGAAGATAAGCCGTTATTGAGGAGACAGCTTCTGCGCAACCTTCACCCCCCAGTCAAAACCAGCCCAAAAGCATAGCTGGCTCACAACAAGATGTGTTGTAAACGTGCAGCATGACTAGAAGAAGACAACAAGCGCGTCACTGGTGTCGACTGTAAGCCATGTTCTGATACGTCTTCGACCAATCGCATATGGATATATAGCAACGAGTTGAGTCGTCAGCCACTTCATTTTTCGCTACTTATCCCACATTTACGGACCCTACGGCCGTGCGCCAGTACACATCCAATGGATTAACGAAGGGCACTTTGGTAGGCTATAACCGCCACACCTAGCCCGTGCCCGAACCAGCCAGATTTTTGTTGCACTAGGGAAGTGAGGTGAACACCACCAAAAATTCGCCTTCGTACATCATCTTTGGGGACACGCTGGCGCCAGGTGACATCAGTAATGCTCCGCAGGTAACTATGACCAATGAAGTGAAGATGCGTTGGATACTTGGACGAGGTGGTCTTTACCAACAGAACGGTACGTCGGTCGAGTCCTAACCGATCCGTGCAAATGATCTGCGTCGGATGTCAGCCTCTGACAACGACTGTTTGCGGAGGATAGCTCGTGTGTGATGGGAACACCACGTTTGCAAGGTCGGTGTTAGACGTCGCGACCTGGGTAATATCAGCCTCCCTATCGACAAGCTAATATCGCTGCGTCAACCTCAATGGCTAGGTCGCGTCTTACCCCTGCCGTGCGAGAGTTTATCACAGCACGCACTTTTCGCTCACGCAGTCGCACTGGAAGAAATCGCGCGGTCGGCTACCTAACACATGGCGACAAAACGTCAAGGCGCAGACTTCCAGTCTATCTATTGTCCGCCCCGTACATCATCCGGGTTAGAGAACCAGTCACTTGAGGAAGGTTTGTGTGAATCTACTGACTAACATTGTAAACACTAAACGGACAGAAAAAGACAAAACTTTAAGCAAAAATCACCCAAAACCTTTCTTTACATACTTTCATTTTGTGAGCTTCGTACTTATTATGCACATTCCTTTCGATGGCTCGATGCTCATTGAACAGGCAGCTGCTTATATATATGGTTGGCGGCATCCGGTTTCGCATTTGCCTGTCACTGTGGCCAGCCACAGGACGCCTGCGCCTACAGAGGGACCATGGGTGGCTTGCGCTGCACCACCCACAGCTCCGACCACACACCCCATATCCAGTGAAAACCCGAAGGAATAAGACCGGGAGGCATGTGGATGGGAGCCACGTTTCATCAACGGAGCCGGCTCACACCCCTTCACAGATAAACACAAGCACGCTGTATTTGGGAATCAAGTGCACACAAGGCGGTGGCTGGACCGTAGTCCGCTCCACACTGAGTGCATGGAACCACTCTTTGATCCTAACACGGCCACAAGGACCGTGCACCCCGTCCCCTCCAGCAACGACCAACTGTCTCCTGGAGCCAGTATGGACGAGGTAGTGGGTAATAGACAGGCAGGCACATTATCAACATGCACATCAAGCACAGCCACACCGGGGATATCAAACAACAGTCAATCATTCGAAATGCCGATATCGAATAAAGTAAACGCATATGACGACATAAATACTCGCTAAATCCGCATATAGAAGAAATTGGTTATAAGTGAATCCGTGATAAGTACAAAATGTCCGAAAGTTATTTAAAAAATACCACGCGATAAAATTACGCAAGTTTACCACAATTTGCGTGAGCGACGTGTGCAAGTAAGGAGAAGATTATCAAGTACGCAGAACAAATCAAATAACATGTAATGAATTTTATCCACATTAAAAAGACCTAGTTTAAGTGTGTTGGCTTAGCCCAACTGCGGTGAAGAAGCATCATGAATGCAACATCAGCCTCAGCAAGGGGCATATATATATATATATATATATATATATATATATATATATATATATATATATATATATATATATATATATATATTCATTTCGGGATCTGAATTTTCGACCATAAATACTTGTTTTCACCGCTTGGTATCAGCGACCTTGCTATCGCCACTTTCTTCAGCAATTGGTCGCCATTTTGTTTTCGGATTATTCACAATGCCGAAGCAAGCACGCTGTGGTACTTGTTCCAAAGTAGTCTGATATCGTGCAAATGCCACCACGTGTTTTGTGCCAAGTTAAATAGCACATTTCATGTGTTGGATTATCCGTTGAGCATTTTCATCGTCTTCGTGAAATCCAACACAATTTCGTTCAAAGTTTATGTGAAAAGTGCCGAAACAAGATACAGCCAGAAAGCGTAAAGCAGACGTGCAGGTATCATCATTCCGTTGCAAACAGCTCCGTGCGTTTGGCCCGACAACCTAGCCCGAATAGTCTTCAGGTTACAGCTCAGTCTTCCTCCTCTACCCGTGC